GTTCGGGATCTACGTCCACTGGGTCTGGGACCGTTCCTTACCCTATACCTCGAAATTTCTGAAAGTTAAAATCGTTTTTCTGAAATTTTTAAAAATTGGCTATAACTTTCAGAAATCCCGATGACAAACCCGATGATTTTTGAAGGGACAGTTAATTTTCAATGTTCTTGGTACCATTGGATAGAGCATTAGATGGGCTACAAAATACCCAAAAATAAAATTCTTTACCGACTGGTAAAAAAAGTTATAAAAAAATTACAAAACTAACGTGTTGTGTCTTTTGTAAATTTATTGTAACAAATTTCCCTCCATTACGCTTGCAAACTAAAGGCATATCACCAACTGGCTTAATTTGAAGTGTTGTACCAAGACATAGGAAAAGATCACACTTCCTTGAAAATTAAATTAGAATGATGTAAAATTAAAATATGGGTATCGCAAAAGAGGTTCCCCACCCAATGACCAGCCAAAATTTTATATCTCACAAATGAAATAAAAATGAGATCAGAAAAATAGGTGAGTCTTAAAAATGAGGTCTATATATTTTATGATGAGATGAAGCCTAAATGTGACAGTTCCTCCCTCATCCAGTTATTACCCCAATTCAAATGTAAAAATTAGAGAGTTCGGTATGAATCCGGACTTTGCTTTTTCCTGGATCCAGAGTCTAATAAATCCAGGCATTTTTCAGTGTTCCTTAATTTTTCCTTGACTCAAGGTCAAGAATCTGCTCAAGAATAATCACTTAAAATCAAGGTTTTTTTTAAAAAAAAAACTCGCTCTCTAGTTAAATAAGTCCTATAATGAGGCTGTATTTTAAATAAAATTCTTTACCGAACAAATTCTTGTGCAATTTGATAATCAGGTTCAGGCAATTTGTCTTCCCAATCTAAAGTAGTGTCGTGAAGGTCTCCATTACATTCAGAGTTTTCACATTGACGACCAGTGGGTTTAAGACCAACAGAGGGAATTGGAGAGTCTCGAAAATATTTTCTAAGAAAAAAAAATTTTTTTTGAGAAATTTCGAAATACTTTTTACGAAATTTCGCAAAGGTTTTGCCCAAAATTCGCGAAATTTAGGAAAAATTTTCAAAAAACTTTTTTAGACGAAATTTCGGGTTTTGTCGAAATTTCGTTGAATTGTGAAGTTCGGAAAATCTCGAAATTTATTTTTTACGAAATTTCGGAAAATTTTACGAAATTTCGGGAAATTTCTAGAAAAAATTTTTTTATCCAAACCTTTTACATTTTCCACATTTTTCCACAAAAATGTTCCCGTGTAATTCAGCCAAACGTTCAATAGGAAATCCAGAAAGACTGTGCAGTCCATCAACATTTTGTGTTATCAAAAATTTAATTTTTCCACACTTTTCAAGCTCCGTCAAAGCAAAATGGGAGAAGGTAGGGGTTGCATGTTCAAAACTAACGCCCTCGGGCATTTGCCTTTTTTGACGTTCCAAAGTCCAAACACCATTGGGGCCTCGAAAGTCGGGAATTCCGGCGGCTGAAGAAGAAAAATAAAATCGACAGAAATTATGGGACAGTCAAAAAGTGGAAGAGGTCAATTGATAAATCAGTTTAGATAAAGGGGACAGTTAGGTAATGAACCAAAAAGGAAGGGAAAATTAGAGATCGGACTGAATCTGAAATTTAAAAAAATTTAGAGTTAGGTCGGTCTCTTGATTTCCCCTACTTTTTGGTTCTTCCACGTAGGAAGGATAATTTCTATTTTGGTGTTGGTTGGTGTTCCCATATCCAGACTCAAAGTCAAGACATTTTTCATAGTTCTTTGAATCCCAGCCTAAAGTCCAAAAGCAATTAGAATCCAGAAAGCCCAAAACCTTAAATAAAATCCAAACCTGTACTAATCCCTGCCCCAGTCAGAACAACACAGCATTCACTGTTACACAACATTTGTACAAGAGAATTGCATTTATTTGTTAAAATACGATCAGAATCGACCTTCTAAAATTTAAAAAATTAAAAAAATTAAAAAAGAAAAAGAAAACCTCGGGTAACCCAACCCTCCCTTTATGTTCATATTCTGAAAGCGCTTTGGCGTATTCAAAAGACATCCAGAGATTGAAGTTTTTGGGCAGTTTTGAATATTTCTACAAGAAAACTGCTTCCATAAATACAACAAGAAGCTGAAAAAAATCTGAAAATTTTAAAAGGCTAACAAGAAAAGACTGCGAGGTGTCCGGCCTAAAAACGGCCGGGATCGGGTTTCTAGCACGACAAAAACAGCACAAAATCCTTGCTAGAAAGGGCACATTTTCTATCGAATGAGCCCGGTCTCGGCCGTTTTTAGGTCGGACACCTCGCAACCTTTCCTTGCAAAAAAAAGAGTTCGAGATTTTTGACCTTCCTGGAATTTTCCTGGACCTGGATTTTTTCTGGACTACAGGCCCAAGATCTGGCCCAGGTCAATAAATCAAACAGAGAGCCCAGGAACAGGCCCATGCTTTTCAAAAATCTCGATCTCCAAAGAAAACTTGAAAAAAAGAATAAAGAAAATTCCAAAAAATTAGGTCAACCTGAAGAGAGATAAGGCAAAAATGAGAGAGTAAGGAGAGAAAAAGAGAAAATGGGATAAAATGTCATTTTTAAAGAAAATAAACATTACGCCAAAAATAAAATAAAAAATAAAATTTTGGGTGACCGAACGTTTCGTCACTGAACTTTTCGTCACCGAACCTTTCGTCAAAACCTTTCGTCACTGAACCTTCCGTCACCAAACCTTTCGTCACTGAACCTTCCGTCACTATTCACCATAAAAAAGAGAATGCACATCTGGATGGACAAATTTAACAAAATAGATTTATGGAAATTAAGTTGAATAAAAGAAAATCATATGAATGAAGATGAAATATAATAAACAAAATTAATAACTTTTTGATAAAAAACAAATAATAATAAGGATGTTAAGTGAAATAAATTTATTTTGATTTATGTACTATTTTTACTATTTTTATTTTTACTAAGAAATTATTTTCATAAATTTTTTTACTCATATTGGCTAAAATGGACGTAGGTTCATCATCAGATGAAGGGCAAATTTTTTCTTCATCTTCCGAGGAGATGGAGGATTTACTCGAATTTATTGAAGTAAAATCTAAAAGAGGTTCATCTCTCTTAACTCGTGACGGCTTTGAATACCAGTTTGAACGTTATTCTGCTGTGGATAATCAAGTTGAATATTGGAAATGCACAAAAGTATGGATTATGTTTGGTTTTTATTTAAGTATTTCTTAGAGACCTCCGTACTGTCCGGGCCGTATCCATGTCGCGTCAGCATGGCATGAAGGAGACGGGAACCGTTTTAAAATCGGATGGATAAAAAATGCTAACCATTCACATAATGCCTTACAAAAAAGAGGTAAATCATAAAAGTATTTTCCGGGGTATTTTTTTAATATTTGCTGAATTTGCGGAAGTCGGTTTATGTCATTCAAGGTCAAAATTTGCAACAAATATTTGCTGAATTTGCTCAGCTAGCTAATGACCCAATTGGGTACCTATGTACGTACTGTCTCCTATCATTTAGCAACACAGTAAATATAACTAAATTACCGATTATGATCAATTTGTCATTTTTGACAACTTCTTATTTGATTTTTAAAAATAAAGTCTTGGTGACGAGAGGTTCAGTGACGAAAGGTTTGGTGACGGAAGGTTCAGTGACGAAAGGTTTTGACGAAAGGTTCGGTGACGAAAAGTTCAGTGACGAAACGTTAGGGAACCAAAATTTTGAGTTCTTTTGACAATTTAAAAATGTACTATTCCTCCAACGATCATCAATTTATAAAACAAAAAAGGAATGATTAATTGATCTGTTCGAGAGAAGATAAAAGTATTGGGGGCAACCAGCTTTATTAACATTTTTATATTTTTTCTTTACAATTAAATGAATCTTTTAACATTAATTAAATCCTGTATTTTTATTTTATTAATCCAACAAAATTTAATTTGTGCACAAGTACTTAGAGGATTGCCTACGTTTCCAACATATAATCCTCCAAATCCGTTTGATTCCAAGTTGGCATTTTTTGAATTTTTAGTCGAACTTGGCTATAGGAGAGGGTTTTGGCCTTGCGTTTCGCGTTGTTTTTTGGTCCCTGTATAGGAGTCAAAACCTTATCTGATTTGCTAGGACTGACAAAATCGCTGTCTTAAATAGAAATTATCTTTAGACAGCTCTACCACTCAGCAACCAAATTTAATTTTTAAAACGTATCTAAATTGAGCTGCATCTTGTATTGAATATTAGAGGTCGGACCGAGACGAGATATCGAAAAATCTTGGTTATCGAGATCGAGATTTTTCGAGATCTCGATTCTCATACGACCCTCCCAGTGAAGTCAGGCTCTATTGAATATTATATGGGGGTTGACTGTATATTTATTTTTCCAGAAATTGGGCAACAGCGGACAATTCAGCATCCAAATATCCCGACAACCGAAATTACAATTCTAATACAGTAAACAATAACGGCCCGTATTTATATCGTTCACAAAATATTCCCTCACGTTTTGGGAATGGATGGTTTGTTCAATGTACTACAAGAAACTGTGCTACTGGATAAATAATTTATTTAAACAAATTTATATTAAAAATTCAAAAATATATCTGTATGTATTTCAAGGCTGTAAAAAAGCAAAACACGTAACTGGCCCTCTTGATGTTTCACAAAAAATTTTTGAGCTGATCTGTTAAATTATTATTAAAGATAGTGACATTTTTTAATTCGGACATTTTGTCGTTTAGACTTTTCGAATTTTGGGCAATAACCGGTTAATCTAATTGCCTATGGAAGACTGACCATTTTGTACATTGTCCGGGGTCAAATTCCGAATTTGGGTTCGGGATTCGACTTTTTCAAAATCTGAGCTCAGATTCGTAATCCGCATATTTTTTATCCTAGAAAAATCCTTTTTCTTATTTTTAAAATGTATTTTCGAAGAAACCCCAATTCTCCGGGATTGCCTAATTTTGGACGTTTAAAGTTTGGCATTTTGAAATTTTAAGAAAAATAGATTTTCAAAAAAACCCACCACAGTATATGAAAACCTATTTCTACTACAAATAACATCTATCGATGCCCCAAAAGTCAATCGTCCAGCACTGAATATCAACTGTTTAGATATTGTTGGACTAACTACAATATTCTATTAAATAGGGGAAATATTTAAAAATTAATTTTTAAAATTCACACTTCATGCATTATTGTTCTCAATGTATCAGAACTACATTTGGAATTTTCTGTGCCCAATTTTGAATAAAGTTTGTCTGATGAATGGGGAGAGGCGTGTACTTTTTTGAATGAGAGCTCTGAGTAGTCGTTTGTGAGAATCTAAAACGTGAAAAAATTGACATTTTGGAGAGTGGGTATTTTGAAATTAGGCGTTTTAAAATCGGAGCAGGACTAATGGGCGCGGCCGAAAATGCGCGGACAATGCTGCCCCGAAAAAATTACGCCTATTCGTCTGCGCCTATTAATCGTGTGCCCTTTAAAATGGGTATCTCGAGTTTGGAAATTTTTAGAAATTGACATTTTGAAACTGGACGTTTTGAAAGTTGGCATTTTGAAATTTGACATTTCGAAAATTTGACATTTTGAAAATATTAATTTTCAAAAATTTAAATTTAAAAACTGACGTCGTCCTTGTCATCGAGAGAGGTAGTTGTAGCCTTCTCTGGCGGTACTACAGCAAAAAGCTTTTTTGAAGTTGTCTCCAATGCTTTCGTTGTTGTCTTTAATGTTGTCTTTATAGTTGATGTAAATGTTTTTGTGTCAAAATCCTCGTCATAATCTGCCAATGCCAATTCATCCTCTCCGTATAAATCCATCGGAAAAGAATTTTCAAAATTTGTTTTCTGTTAGAAATAATTTTTAAAGGGAAATTTCTTTAAGAGTTTCTAACTGCTGCGGGTATTGCTGCAGAAGCCAACTTGTTCCCTTGCACGTTTAGGCCTCCATTTCCTTTGCCTCCGCTTACATTTATTGCCTGAAATATTAATTGACATTTTGTCCCAATTTTCACTAAGTGACATTTTGTCCCAATTTTCCTTAAAGTGGCATTTTGTCCCAATTTTCACTAAGGTGACATTTTGTCCTAATTTATGTTAAAGTGACATTTTGTCCCAATTTTCATTAAGGTGACATTTTGTCCCAATTCTTATCAAGTGACATTTTGTCCCAATCTCAATAAGTGACATTTTGTCCCAATTTTCCTTAAGGTGACATTTTGTCCCAATTTTCACTAAGCGACATTTGATTCCAAAAAATTAAAAAAATTCTAACAGGTGGATCCCTCTTGTAGTTATTTTCTTTTTCTTCCTCTTCCCTTGTAGTTGTTTCAGTTGTTTCGGCTTCAGGCTGCAATGAAGTTAAATACTCATCAGTTGGTGGAAGAGGGGGAATTTCTGGTTCAGAAATTGGAGGGGGTTGTATAGGTTGTTGTTCTGGTAATTGTTGTGGTTGTTTATATGTTGTGAGAGGTGGAAATGTTGATGACTGTTCGTAGTTTCCCTTAAGAGATGAAGGAAGTCTTTGGAATTTAGTAAAATCTGGCCCCCTTGGCTAAAAGATAGAGGTAGACTTTCAGACCTCTCTACCCTCCTAGGGACTCGATAATAACCTTTAAATAGAGGTTATGGCTTAGACAACTTCCCCTACCCATTGACTAACCAAATTTTAAAAGGTATCTTAAATTGTGGTTTATCGGGAGTGTTTGAGGTTTGAAGCAACAAAGAGACCTATTACCTGACCAAATCCACCACCATCACTTCCCGAGTAGCCCTCTCCTTTATTTTGTTGTAAAAGCTCTCTATCCCCTTCGTTGTTTTTCTGTGCATAAGTACCCCCAGCACCCGAAGACCAAGCAGGTTGCGGATTAATAGAAGGTTGAGGGAGAATATTACATTCATTTGGCGTTGCACTTTGACACTCTGCTGTAGGGAGAGAGGGCGCAACATAATTTTGAGGGGGAAGAGGAGGGATTGGATTGTATGGTTGAGGGGTTTGTTGGGGTTGCTGTTGTTGCTGAGGTTGTTGGGGTGGTTGAACCTGAGGAGGAGAACAATCAGTGGAACACCCACTTGTTGGTTGTTGTTGTTGCCCTATATTGTTGCTGCTATAACTCCCTCCTCCAGAACTGCTTTTTGCATAACTATTAGATTGTGGTTGTTGAGGTAAACAATTGTTTATTGTGCTGCAACCTCCTCCTGCGTTTTTAAAAATATTTGGGTTGAATAAGTTAATTATACCTGTGGTTGTGTCCTTAGAACATTCGATGGTTAACCGAGTAGAACTGGGTGCTGATGGATACGGTTGGTGGCTTCCTCCTCCGCAACCTGAAGAACTTCCTCCTCCACATCCTCCTGAACTACCACGACTTGCGTAACCTGTAGGACCTGTCCCGCACCCTCCTGTACTTCCTCCACAATTTGAAGAGCTTCCTGAGCAACCTGAAGAACCTGAACTTGCTCCACAGCCTGAAGAACCTCCACAACCATTATCACAGTTTATTACCACGCATCCACCAGAACTTCCTCCACCACCACAGCCTCCAGCTCCTGCTGCTCCTCCACACCCTCCACTACAACCTCCAGCTCCTCCATAGCCTCCACAACCCCCACCTCCTCCACCACTACCTCCACAACTTCCTCCTCCACAACCTCCTCCACCACAATTTTGAGAAGAAATAGGAGGGGGAGGAGGAGGACATACAACTGTTGGGCATGAACATCCTCCTTAAAAAATGATTTTTGGGGTTCTAAAATTTCCTAGAAAAGTACCAACCACTCATACTGTAAAAGAAAGCCTGGGAGAAGGATAAGGAAATAAATAGAAAATAAAGTTGATAGGATAAATTGAAAAAATATTTTAATCGAATAAATAGAGGCATCTCAAAAATAATTTAAGCAACGTTTTCAGTGGACTCCCTTTCGTTGGAATTTTACAATTTTTGAAAAAATAAAAATTTTTAAAAAGCCGAAGAAAGGAGAGAAAATACTTGAAGTCTTCCCTTCCTATAAAAGCTAAAAAAGAAAAAAAACTTTTTCAAGTTTTAAAGTTTATTTAGATTTTTAAAAAAAGAGAAATTGGGTTATTACATGAAAGAAAAATATTTTTATAGCGCTCGTTTCTAATTATTTTTTTGTTTGATTGTGAAATGTTCGAATGCTTTCTTTTTAGCTTTTAATTGTAACAAGGGTTTCTTTTTAAAATAACAAATTTAAATTAGGGGGAGAATAAATCTACAAAATAGAGGTTAAGTTTACTGTATTTGGCGTACTGTATTTTTTCTATAACTATTTCCTAGTTGTCTGCCCTTTATAAATTGATAAAAAAGCCTCTCTTTCGCTTACGACCATACCGCGTTGAAAGCACGCCATCCCGTCCGATCTGGCAAGTTAAGCAACGCTGGGCCTCCTTAGTACTTGGAACGGAGACGTCCTGGGAATCGGGGGTGTCGTAAGCTTTTTTCCAAATTTTTTTGGTAAAAATTAAAAAATCTTTATAAAAATTTTTGACATAATTTTCGTAAATTTAACCCGTAAATTTTAAAGTTAGAGTAAAAAATGACAAATTTATTGTTGAAATTGGCGAAGTAGTTTTTGACGAAATGAAAATATGTCAATAGAAATAAGCAAAATGAAAATGAAAATAGTACATAAAGAAGAGAGAGGAAAAAGAAAGAAAGATTTTTTCTCCTTTCTTATTAGATTCTTTTCACAAAATTTGCCAAAACACACTTTGCCAATAAGGCTAAAAATTTACATTTTGTCAACAAACTGTTTGGCAAAATGTGATATTTTGGTCTTATTGGCAAAATGTGGAGTTGGCAAAATGTCGGGTTACCTTAGATTTTCTATTCTTATTTTTTTTTTCAGTTTTCTTTTGTTAATTTTAAAAATTTTTTTAGAAAATCTTTTTTATTTTCAAATACTTTATAATTAAAATACTATTTAAAATGACTGATCGACAACAACAAATAGACGGTATTTTATTGTCCTTAGCAACTTCATTTGAAGGAGGTGTGCCTGAACTGTTCGACCATGTCTTCTCTTTTCTTTCTCGAAAAACTGATTTTTATACTGGGGCAGCTACTTCCACAACCGCAAAGAAAATTGTTTTGGATGCTTTTGAAAAATACGAAAAGACTTGCCAAGCCGAGGCTTTGGAGAAATTGAAGCGGAAAGAGGCGGAAGAGAAAAAATTGGCTGAAAGACGGGCTGCTCAAAAAGCTAAGGAAGAGGCTGAATTTACTGAGACTAGCCGAATTAAGGAATTGACTGATGAAGAAGCTGAACAACTTCAGAAAAAGTTGGATGCTGAAAAAGCTAAAGAGGTTTGGATTTTTTGGGAGCGTTTTTGGGGCTCCTTTCCTCAACTGTTCCTTTCCTCTTTCCTTCATTTTTTATCTGGCTCCTTTTGAGGGTACGGCCCTTTATGGCACAGGTGCCTCACTTGCCCCCCTGCTTCCATTTCGGAAAAAATCCAGGTTACGGGCCTGACACAGGGACACTGTGCGCGAACCTTTGCACCAACAAAAGAGAAGGTTGTTCCAATAATGAGCTAGTATCTGACTCTCTCTGAGGAGCGCGCCATAACGGTCACGCCATAGCGTCCACGTCTCTGGTCATTCTTTCTCTCTTTACTCCTTTATTCGATAATTAAATGCCATAGGTGAATAGGAGACCGCCTATTCCTTTCTTTCAAACTTTTTTGTTCTTCCGCCCCCAAAATTTTTAACATTTGATTTTGCCTGATTATCCCTGTTTATTCTTTTATTTTTAAATTTTGCCCTGCCGCGAACAGAAAAGCAAAATTTCTCAGATGAGAGAATTGCCTTTAAACAGTATAATTTTTAAATTATTTGCTCTCTAATCCTTTTTTGTTTATATAAATATGCTCATATTCATTTCTAAAATTCATTTCATTTTTAGAAAGCCACAGAAATGCTTGAAAATAACCTGAAAAATAATTCTGAAGAAAATGGACAAAATAAAGAAGAGGAAAAGTCTGACAAAATCAAGCCAAATTTGGGGAATGGTTGTGATTTGGAAAATTATCAATGGACTCAGACACTTGGAGAGTTGGAAATTCGTGTTGTTTTTAAAGGCATTGGATTTCCTCTGAAAGTTGGTTTTTGCTTTAAATTTTATTTTTTTGTTGGACCTTACTATAAGTTCGTCAACTTTTTTTTTAAATTTCCTCTTAATTTTTATATAATTTTTAAAAATATCGTCAATGGCCTAATACAATCTTTCCAGTACGGAGTATAGGGCATTTGGTAATACCAAGACTGGTCCCCCTTTTTTTTGTTCCCCTGACCATTTTGAGCTTTTTTGAATGACATATATTTTTTGGCTTTGGTCATTCTTTTATTTTTCAATTTGACTGTGTAGGCTTCTACTACTTCATTATTTTCTATTTCGGATGCGCTTGCATTTACTTTATATCATTTTCCTCTATAACCCGTAAAACTTTTTCTTCCTTTCCTTGCGTTTGACCATTTTGTATAAGTTGTCCACAAAATACTAGGCAAAAAACAGGTCTCGGATAACCGATAGTTAACAAAATTATTTTTTTATTTTTAAAGGCAAAAGACGTTGTTGTTGATGTTGGACGTAAACATTTAAAAATTGGACTTAAAGGAAAACAACCATTAGTTGATGGTGAATTGGCTGAAGAAATTAAACTTGAATCGCTCAACTGGATTATTGAAGACAAGAAAAATGTTGTTTTGAATGTTGATAAGGTTTAGTTTGATTTATTTTTTAAAAATTAATTTTGGGGTTCCCTATTTTTCTGAAAAGGGTATTTTAATGTGGGTTTTTTAAGTGCTCTGTCAATTTTTCTATTGTTTGTGTTGAAATTGTAAAATGTTTTGGTTCAGTTTTGCCGACTTTTTCGTACACCGTGCCAAAAATTTTTTTTTAATTTTTCTCTCCTAAATTTATTTTTTTTATATTTTTTATTATGTAGCTACATAAATAGGAGTTTAGATTTTTTTAAGAAAATTTTTTTTGTTTATTTTTTGACATGCGGAGAATTTTTTTCGGACACTTTTTGCGGACATTTTTAAAAAATTTTTGATTTATTAGCATATTTTGATTTTATAATTTTTTAATTTAAGGTAAATGGTATGCATTGGTGGAACAAACTTTTACTTACTGACCCTGAGATTGATACTCAAAAAGTTCAGCCAGAAAATTCAAAACTTTCGGTTTGTTTGTTTTTTAATAATTTTTTTTCCGTTTAACTAAATTGGGGTAATTATATGGGGTGAGGGGTGTATTTTTGTATGAATTTTGGGTGTCCCCTTTTTATAGGCCAAAATTTTGAAAAAAAAATTTCATTTTTTGTTTGTAAATGTTGTCACATTTTTTGCTTTATTTTCCTTTTTTTCATAAAATTTCTTCGATTTTCTTCATGTTGTAGTGGGATAACTAGAAATTTTATATTGTAAAAGGGTTGTAAGTTTGAATCCAATTAATTCCAAATTATTTTTATTTTAATTATTTTTTAATATTTTAAGTTTCTGAAATTTTCTTCTTTAAAAAAAAATTTTTTTTGGTCATTTTTTCTTTTTTTTTCCCAAAGTTTCATCTCTATTATTAGTGAAATTTTTAATTTTGTGTTCTTCCTTTTTTTTTCTTTTTATTTCTTTTTTTTTGTGATTTATTTATGGGAAAATAGGGGCTAAATAAAAAAAGCAACACGAAAATCAATGTTATTTCAAAAAAATTTTTTGTTGTAAAATTTTTTTAAATTAACTTTTCTTTGTCAACAACTTTTCCTTGCCCCTTGTAGTTTTCGATTTATTAATTTTTTTTTTCTTCATGGTGTAGTTGGATAATTTTAAATTTTACAATATAAAGGGACAAAGGTTCGAATCCTACTACTTTAGAATTAATTTTTCTTTTGTTTATTTTTGAGAATATTTTATTTTTAAAGGTTTCTCTGTTAAAAAAAATTTTTTTAGCCATTTTTTGTTTATTTTTTGTGTTCTTTTTTAAGTTTATTTGGGGTAGACTATAAAAATAATTATAAAAAAAGACAAAAAAGGGGGGAAGGAATTTACTCATTTTTGTTAATTTTTTATAATTTTCTTAATTAAAAAATTTTTTTCTAAAGGATTTGGATGGTGAAACTCGTTCAATGGTCGAGAAAATGATGTATGATCAACGTCAAAAAGAACTTGGATTACCAACTTCTGAGGAAAAGAAGAAGCATGAAATTCTTAAAAAGTGGGATTTTTTTATTTCAAAAAAAAATTTTTTTGGAAAGGGTTTCCGTCAAAGTTGAATTAACCAAAATTTGAAAATTATTAAAAAATCATGGGAAATTTTTTTTGTGGAAAAACATTTGTGAATTTCGTAGTTGAGAATTGGTTTTTTTTTTTGTTAGAATTAGAAACCGGATTGAGAAGTATGAGATAGTATGACGTATCTCGTAAATAAATTTTAGATTGTTCAAAATTTGAGATTTGTTCAAAATTTGTTTTCTTGTTTCGGTTGTTGAAACATTAAAAATTTTTTTCGGTACTCCCAGTATTTTGAAAAATTTATTTGCTTAACACACTAGTTTATAACTCGTCAGAAAATCGGATTTTTGAGATTGTTTGAAAAATTTTTTTTTCGAGACATGGAGGGGGAGGGGGGGTTTCCTATTTTTGTGATTTGGTTACAAAAAATTAAAATATTTGCTTTAATTTAATAATTTTTATTTTTTTTTTAGATTTATGGACCAACATCCGGAAATGGACTTTTCGAATGCTAAGTTTACTTAAAAATTGAATTGAAAAAAATGTGTGGAAGAGAGAAATTTTAAGTTTAAGAAAAATAAATAATTTTTTTTTGAAATTATTTAATGATTTATGGCTCTCTCAGTTATATTTATTTGATTTTTTTTGCTTTTTAATTTTTAAAAAGTAGGGGATTGAACTTTTTGGATGATTTTTCTGGGTTAAAAAATTTTTGAAATTTTTTTCTAAATTTTATTTTTTTGAAATTTTTGGAAATGCTTGATTTTGTTTTCAGTTCAATCCCTATTTAAAAAAAAATATTTTATCTTCGTCCTATTTTTCAGTCAGTTTTTTTAACTGATTTATTTTTCAAGCTTTTAAAAATTAATTAAAATAAATTTTTTTGAATTTTTTAGTCAACAACTTTATTGTATTTAAGTACTTTTGGTGACATCAAAAAAATTTTTTAAAAAACTACAAAAAAATTTTGACAGAAAAAAATAAAAAAAAAATCAACAAAAAAATCAACAAAAATTTAAAAAAAACATCAAAAAAATTTTTTTTTGACTTCTAAAAATTTTTTTTTAAAAACTATTTTCCTCGTGACCTTCCAAAAATGGAAAAAATAACGTCCCTTCCTTCATTGTCCCCAAACAACAAAACAACAACCAACCCTTCTCAACTTCTAGTAGACCAGGACGATTTGGATAAATTGTCCAATCAATTAAAATTGTTAAAAATTGATGATTCGACAATCAACAAAATTTTACAAAAATTTAAACCGATCAAAAAAGAAGTTAAAAGTGAGGTAAAAAAATAAATGAAATTTTGTTTTATTGACAAGGAACTCCCTTTTTTCTTCTGATTTTTGAAAAATTTAATTTTTTCTCTTTAATAAATTTCTTAAAATTAATTATAATATTTTTTGGGTATTTTCTATTTTTCTAATCGGATTTTAAATTGAAGACAAAAAAATTTACAGCTTGGCTAAACACAGGAAAATATCATTGTTTAGCAAAGCTGTAAAAAATTTTAATTTTGTTTAATTTTTTCTCTTTAAAAAATTTTTCTAGCCACAGGAATGTGAAGCTTTCGAACCTCAACAACAACAACAACCCTTTGTTGGGTATGATGGATTGTTTGAATTGGCTATTTCTCAAGTCATCAACTGTGGATATGGGCATGTTCTCCCTTTCAACTTTTTTGGAACCAAAAAGTTGGATAATTAAAATTGACCTTAAAAAATCTAAAAAAAAATTGGAAAATTTTTTAGAAGTTGTTCTAGAAAATTCAAAAAAAATTTTTTTTGAATTAATTTTTAAAGGCTTGAAAATTAAATCAGTTAATTATAAAAACATTCCAACCCCTTTTTATTCGCGTTTCATGACCGCCGTTTCTCTATTTCAATACCTTTAGGGTTTTTTAATTTTTATTTAATTTTTAAAAATTAAAAATATTTTTTTTTAATAATTTTTCTGCGCCTAATTTTTGGCACCGCAGGCGAAAATTCTAAGAATTTTGAAGGCCGTAGGCCAAAAAATTTCACTTTTTTGCCCAATGTCTTCCCCAATTTCATTTTCAATCCAAAATGTTGATTTAAAAGAACATACTTTTAAAAAAGTACGAATCGTAACCCTGGTTTAAAAATTGCTAAAAAAATTTTTTTCTTTTTTTTTTAAAGTTTAAAATCTTTAAACTTATTATGTATTTGTAAAATAATATTTTAAAAATTTTTTCTAATTTTAATTAAAGAAGAATTTTTAAAAATAATAATTCTGCAACAAATTTAATTTTAATTAAACAACAAAAAATATTTAAAATGAGAAGCACAAATATAAACAAACAATTAAAGCTTGCTAAAATTAATTTTGCTGTTAAACAAACTGATCTCTTTAAAAAGATGGCGTCTAAAAAAGGAGAAGAAAATAATGATCAATTTTTAGAAAAAATGTTAAAGGTTCAAGAAAAATGTACTGAACATGTCTTTTCAGGTGCTTAATTTTTACTGAAAGTTAATTTTTCTGTAAAAAAATTTTTTTGAGAAAAAATTTTTTGAGAAAAAATTTTTTGTAGAATATTTTTTTGGAGGTCGAAAAAAATTTTTTTTTAATTTTTTGCAAATTTTTTTGATAATAATTTAGACACACGACGACCTTTAAAAAGAAAACGTAATCAAGCAGAGGTTTTAGCACCTCAAGAGAATTTTGATTTCAATCGTGAAGCTAGTGTTGCTTTCACTCCTGAACCTCAAATGAACCTGAACTTTAGTGCAGCTTGTAAGAATTTACAATTAAATTTTAAAAATTGTAAATTACAATCGGAAATTGAAAATAATTTTTAAGAAAGTTTGGGGAAAATATTGATTGACCCAAAAAATTATTTTTATTTTATTGGCTTAGGAGAATATAAATGAGAGTTTAATAAGTTAAAATACACAGCAGAATTAGCTCCCATAAATTATTGTAATTCTTTTTTTTATTACTGGTATATAACAAAATTAGATTTTAAAGTTATAAATAGAAAAATAAAAGAAATAGCAAAAATTTGTAAATAATTGTAATTAATTTTGTTTTAAATTTTAGTGAATGATTTAGCAAATCGTGCACCAACTAGAACTGGTCGCACGGGGGGTAACAAATTATTAATAATTTAAAACATTTTTCATAAAAACATTTACTTTATAATTTTCCGGAAAAACATTTACTTTATAATTTTCCGGAAAAACATTTTTAATATTTATAATTTTCCGGAAAAACATTTTTAATATTTATAATTTTCCGGAAAAACATTTTTAATATTTATAATTTTCCGGAAAAACATTTTTAATATTTATAATTTTCCGGAAAAACATTTTTAATATTTATAATTTTCCGGAAAAACATTTTTAATATTTATAATTTTCCGGAAAAACATTTTTAATATTTATAATTTTCCGGAAAAACATTTTTAATATTTATAATTTTCCGGAAAAACATTTTTAATATTTATAATTTTCCGGAAAAACATTTTTAATATTTATAATTTTCCGGAAAAACATTTTTAATATTTATAATTTTCCGGAAAAACATTTTTAATATTTATAATTTTCCGGAAAAACATTTTTAATATTTATAATTTTCCGGAAAAACATTTTTAATATTTATAATTTTCCGGAAAAACATTTTTAATATTTATAATTTTCCGGAAAAACATTTTTAATATTTATAATTTTCCGGAAAAACATTTTTAATATTTATAATTTTCCGGAAAAACATTTTTAATATTTATAATTTTCCGGAAAAACATTTTTAATATTTATAATTTTCCGTAAAAACATTTTTAATATTTATAATTTTCCGGAAAAACATTTTTAATATTTATAATTTTCCGGAAAAACATTTTTAATATTTATAATTTTCCGGAAAAACATTTTTAATATTTATAATTTTCCGGAAAAACATTTTTAATATTTATAATTTTCCGGAAAAACATTTTTAATATTTATAATTTTCCGGAAAAACATTTTTAATATTTATAATTTTCCGGAAAAACATTTTTAATATTTATAATTTTCCGGAAAAACATTTTTAATATTTATAATTAGGGAGTGGCAAAATATGCACGGAAAATCTCAAAATATGCGCATATATATGCACCGAAAAGGCCCAAAATATGCACCAAAATATGCACTGAATATGCAGGAAAAATAATGATAATGTACTTTAAAAATCAATATCCCAAGTAAAAAATACTAATTTAGCATCTAAATTGCAGTTTAAGAGCACTTCTAAAAGATTTTATTAATTTAAAACTCAACCAAAAAAAAATTTTTTTGAAAGAAATTTTTACCGAAAAATTTTTCGAAAAAATTTTTTCAACAATTTTTATAAAAAAATTTTTTGCTCAAAAAATTCCAAAATTTTGCTTTATTTTTACTAAAATTTTTCAAAAAATGCCAAAATATGCACAAATTTAGGTAAAAATATGCAAAATTTCCCAAAATATGCCTCGATATGCAAATATGCACGAAAGTATTGAAATATGCAAAAATATGCTATAGGAACTCTGTCCCTAATGTTCGTACCGACATAAAAACACCATTTTTGAGCGTTTCAGCTCATGGCATATCCGCATACAAAATATGCATTTGCATGTTTTGCCACTCCCTATTTATAATTTTCCGGAAAAACATTTTTAATATTTATAATTTTCCGGAAAAACATTTTTAATATTTATAATTTTCCGGAAAAACATTTTTAATATTTATAATTTTCCGGAAAAACATTTTTAATATTTATAATTTTCCGGAAAAACATTTTTAATATTTATAATTTTCCGGAAAAACATTTTTAATATTTATAATTTTCCGGAAAAACATTTTTAATATTTATAATTTTCCGGAAAAACATTTTTAATATTTATAATTTTCCGGAAAAACATTTTTAATATTTATAATTTTCCGGAAAAACATTTTTAATATTTATAATTTTCCGGAAAAACATTTTTAATATTTATAATTTTCCGGAAAAACATTTTTAATATTTATAATTTTCCGGAAAAACATTTTTAATATTTATAATTTTCCGGAAAAACATTTTTAATATTTATAATTTTCCGGAAAAACATTTTTAATATTTATAATTTTCCGGAAAAACATTTTTAATATTTATAATTTTCCGGAAAAACATTTTTAATATTTATAATTTTCCGGAAAAACATTTTTAATATATACATAAAATTTTTTGATATTAATTTAAGACGATAGTGATCCAAAAAGAAAGAAGAATGGATCAAGAAAAGATAAAACAAATGGAGATGGTGATTTTGAAGTTACGGAGACTACGGAAAATGAAAAGCGCTTGAAAAAAAAGAAGAAAACAACTGTTAAGAGAAAACATTTCTAATGATCAGAATCCAGAAATCTTATATATATTATGAATCCGCTAAATTTTGTTATAAACTAATTTTTAAGGTGATATGAGTAACGATGGTCCATCGTCATCTAATAAAGAAAATTAATCTTTGTAAGTTTAACTTTTGGATTGACTTTTGACTAAAAATTTGTTGAAAAATTTTTTTCAAATTTTTTGGGTATTTGATCATTTAAAAAATTTTTTTTTAATAATTTCCAATTTTTTCTTAAATTTTAGGAAGAAGTAAGCCGAGGAGAAAATTTTTGTTTTGTTTTAATTTGCTGTTGAAGTTAAATTGTTGTTCCTATTTTAATTTTTAAATACATTCTCACTGTTAAGAAAAATTTTTTGAACTTTATTGCCTCGCCCCTTTTTTTTAAAAAAATCCAAGGGTAGGATTTTCAGCAAACTTTTGTCAATCAAAAGTTATTTATTTTACTCATGGCCGGAAAACATCAAAACACTTTCCAGTAAAACATTAATACAAAACATTTCCGGACAAAATAAAAAACATTTTCTTTGAAAACAAAACATTAAAACATTTTCCATCAAAACATAATACAAAACATTTTCTTTCAAAAAAACACAAAACATTTTCTATCAAAACAATACAAAACATATTTGGAAAAACAAAATAAAAAACATTTTTCTTTCAAAACAAAACACAAAACATATTTGGGTAAACATCAATAGAAAACATTTTCCGGACAAAATACAGAACATTTTCTTTCAAAACAAAACACAAAACATTTTCCGGTAAAACATCAATACAAAACATTTCCGGACAAAATAAAAAACATTTTTCTTTCAAAACAAAACACAAAACATTTTCCGGTAAAACATCAATACAAAACATTTCCGGACAAAATTAATTCTAAACATTTTTCGGACAACATTTTTATAAAACGATATGTATTTGGTTAAAAAATTCAATAAAACTGGGGGCGAGGGCATTTTTTAATCTTGGGAGTTAATTTGTGTAATAATCTTTTAAATCAATTTGGTTCTTAAATAAATAAATGAAATTCCATGCTGTGTTTTTTAATTAGTTTTCAATCAGTTTTTGGCTGATTAATTTTTTTAGATTTTCAAAAATTTTGTTTGTGGATTTTTTAATTAATTTTTGTGGCAACAAAAGAAAACATCAAAAAAATACCCAAAAATGTTAACCCCATCCTTCCAATTGGATCAAAACGACATTTTTTTGTTTGTTAAAATTAAAGCTCCCTATTGCAAAATTGTGGACGCTGAAGTAATTTATGGGGACAGAGAATTTGTTTTTAATGCTACTCCCTATTTTTTGCGGTTATTTTTGACTGGAGATGTTGTTGATGATGAGACGGGGACTGTAGAATATAACAGTGAAAAGGGTGGGGGATTTTGAGTTTAATTGGAAAAAAATAATTAGAAGAGCCCCAGTGGACCCCACTGTAAGGGGCTGGATGAATCTAGCCTTATACTGAGGGGTCTATTAAATAGAGAGTATTGTTCAGACAATTCCCCACAATCAAGAGGCCAACCAAAATTGAAAACGCCCTCTAATCGATAGGGCTGTTCCCCGACAGGGGGAGGGCCACGGGGATAACTTTTCGGGGAGGCAACGCCACGGGGGGGGGGTGTTCAGACAACTCCCCTAATCATGTGCCCAGCCAAAATTGAAAACGTATGATATATATGATTTTTGGGGGACGTATGAGGTGGCTGATCAGCTATTAACCCACACACATATTTTTAGGAGAATTCACCATTTGTATACCAAAAAAATCCAAGGGACAATTTTTCCCTCGTTTGGAAATGTTGAGCGAATTAATTAAACCACAACAACAATCATTACCTACAGCAAAATCCCCTATTGAAATAATTAATTCTAGAAAAAATAAAATAAATCAAGATGAGGGTTATTCACAAAGTTCAGAAGAGGAGGAAGTAGAAGATTCTTTAATTAATGATGGTCGGTAGTTTTAATAAATTAATATTTTTTGGAACATGTTTCGCAACATATAAACATTTGTTTTTATATCTTTGCTTGTTTATGCGAAACATGTAATTTAACAAAACATTTTACGGAACATGTTTTTACTATGTTTAACAGAGAAATATTTTATTAAAAACATGTTTTTCTAAACACAAAAACATGTTTTTCTAAACAAAAACATGTTAAAACATGTAAAACACAAAAACACATTAAAAACATGTTTTTCTAAACATAAAAACATGTTAAAAACACAAAAACACATTAAAAACATGTTTTTCAAAACACATTTTTCTAAGCACTGGAAACTTGTTTTTCTAAACACAAAACATTTTCCGGAAAACACTTTACTAATGTATTTTTTACTTATTCAACCGGAAAACATTTTAATAAAAACATGTGTTTTAAATAGTTTTGTGTTTTCCGGAAATTGTTTCTAAAACAAATGTTTTTTTCAAGAATCCCTTTTTGCCAAACAAACACTGTGTTGTCCAGAAACTAACAATTTAACTGAGAATAGTCAATTTGGTTATGGTTTTGGTTGGGTACGTAATGAAGTTTTGGGCAAATTTAAAGAAGAAATTGTTGATTTAATTGATTTGGCTGATCCGGAAAATGTTTTAATTGAAGAAAGAAGTCAAAAACTGAAAGAATTTGACGAAAAACATTTTTCTGAACAATATTATTTGTAAATTTATTTTTAATAATTAGAAAAATAAATTTTTAAGGGCAGATTTATTTTCTCAAGAACAATACCAACTCGATGCTATGGAATTTTGTTTTGATAAAAATTGTGTAAAATTAACTGAAGAAGATTTTACAGATTTGAAGGATTTGAGAATAAGAAAGTTGGAAAACTTTTCCAAGGAAATTAATGAAAAGGTGGGAGAGATAATTATAAACATTTTTGCAAGTGTTTTCCGTAAACTTGTGTTTTTGTGTTTATTCCATTAAAACATGTTTATATATAAAACACCTAAACACTTTAAAAACATGGTTTCCGGAAAATACAGTCATTAACAAATGTTTTAGAAATTTTTTGTTTATTTCAGAAAAACATTCAAAACAACATGTTTTCTTTATAAATTACCTTAAGAAAAACAAAACTTGTATTTTCCGGAAAATAATTATGAACATGTTTGTATTTTAAAAGAATGTTTTCCTTTTGTTTCTTCCTTAAAAACATGTTTAAACATTTTCCGGAAAGTAAAACACATGTTTTGTATTTTACTTTAATTTTTATCTAAACATTCTTTTATTAAAAACACTGATGTTTCAGATTGCTCTATCTTTGGTTGACATTATTTTTGGTTTTGCTTATGATTTTAGAACAACATTGGTTTTTTTGTTAATTTAAAAACAAAATTTATTCAAAATTAAAGGAAGAACATTCAGTAGAATCTGGTTGGACAATTTCTAAATTATCCCCTTCATTAACTTTTCTTGTTCAATGGTCAAATATACAAGAAGCAATATCTTCAACTATTAGACATTCTTTAGTGTTACCAATGATTAGAAATTGGGAATTGAGTTTGAAGGTTATGCAGGATGTTGGGATAATTATTGAAAATGGTAATAATTGTTTTTATAGAAACATGGATGTTTAAAACAAAACTTGAACAATTAATGTTTTTGTAGTATGAATTAGATAAACACATGTTTTTCCGGAAACTACATTTGTTTCTGGGAAATTAAGTTCTGAACAATTTTAAATGTTTTGGGAAAACAAATAATTGTTTTGTTTTAATTTATTTGTTTTTTTCAACATGTTTGTTTTCCGGAAAACATGTGTTGTTACACAGATAAACACATGTTTTTCCGGAAAATACATTTGTTTCTGGGAGATTTAAGTTCTGAACAATTTTTGAATGTTTTGGAAAAATACAAATAAACATGTTTTGATCGAATTTATGTGTTTTTCAGCATGTTTGTTTTCCGGAAAACACATGTTTTTCCGGAAAATACATTTGTTTCTGGGAGATTTAAGTTCTGAACAATTTTTGAATGTTTTGGGAAAATACAAATAAACATGTTTTGATCGAATTTATGTGTTTTTCAGCATGTTTGTTTTCCGGAAAACATGTGTTTTTGCAAGTTTTGTTCCTTTTAATTGTTTCTCAAACAATTTCTAATGTTTTTATCAAAACATTCTAAATGTTTATGGAAAAATACAAATGAACTTGTGTTTTTACAACAACAAACTTGTTTCACAAACATTTTTATAATGTTTTAATTTTTCTCAGGCCGTTCATCAATTTTACATGTTCTTTTAACATGCAGACGTATTTTTAATAAAAGTGGTGGTGAATTTCGATATTTATTAAATCAACTTTTTATTGACGATTTATGTCTTTGGATTCAATCAGTTGATGAAGAATTAATTTTAAATTTAAATAAAGAATTTAAAAATTCTGTGAATTCTGTGGAGAAATCAAACATTTTGGAATTAGATTTGGAATTTATCGAAGCTCAGGCAAAATTGGAAATGTTAAAACCGTTGGATTCTGATGATGATGAATAAAAGATAGTAAAAACAAAATAAAAATAAATTTATGAATTAATTATTCTGTGTTTTCCCTATTTTTGTTTTTTTAAGGAAGAAACATTGTTCGGATGAGGATTTAATGTTTTCCGGAAAATATAGATGTTTAGTTAATATGTTTTCCGGAAAGAATGTTTTTAGAAATAAAAACAATGATAAATAAAATAGAGTTTTCCGGAAAGTTTAAGAACGATCTTAAATGTTTTCCGGAAAAATGGAATGTTTTCTGTTTGTTTGTTTTTAATTGTTGATGTTTTAAAACAGATGTTTTGTTTGTTTGTTTTTAATACAAAGAGTTTTTAAAAAAGCTTGTTTTCCTCATAAAAACACTCAATTACATTCCTTGCTCATAGTTTTGGATGTAATACCCATAAATCCCAGAAACGCATATAGTTAAGCCTAAAAATAAAAAATTGAATAGTCTAAATTTAATTTTTTAAACTAACTGCGCAAATAAATATTTGATGCATACAATTCATCTCCACTCAAATTCCCAACAATATTATCCTTGATAAACTCTAAAACTTCAACAGCAATCTCTTGTTTTGTGTCAAAGTTATCCTTGACCTAAAAAAATTTTTATAAAAATTTTTTTTGATTTTACGAAATCTATTTTTTTGCGAAATACGAAATTAATTTTTACGAAAATCGAAACTTAGTTTTTGCGAAACACGAAACATTTTTTACGAAACACGAAATTCGAAATTTCGTAAAAAGAAAATTTCATTTTATAAAAATAATTTATATTTCACCTTCAACACCCAAGCATCAAAATCAACCCAGTCCTCATGCTTCCCTCCAGTCGGCCAAGTTTCCAAATCGCTAATCTTCTAAAATCATTTTATTATTTTTTATTGGGTTATTTATTGAGTGCAACCTTATTTATTGCCTCACCATGTGAAGGCATGTATTTAACAATCCCCGTAAGTTGTGGGAAAAACGCTAAAACAAATAAATGTTTTTTGATCAGACAATAGTAAAAACTAACAGTCGAGGCGGGTGTTGAGACAGACAACTTCATTAACATTAACATGATCACCTGGTTTGTCAATTGCTTTAAGATTAACAATCATCCCATTAAATTCTTGAGCAACAGAAGCACGAAGCTAAAAACATTATTTTTTTTATTAATTTTTGGTTAAAAAATTTTTTTCAAAAAAATTCACATTTACACACTCAAAATCATCTACCTTATTTATATAAATTCTCCATTTTCGTTGAAATTTAATAATTAAAAAATTAAAAAATTTGGATATTAAGGTATTGCCCCATTTTAAATTGAAGGGAATGAAACGGATTAATTCGAAAATTAATTCCTTGGGTAAATTTTGGACATTTTTTGTTTCATTTTTCATTTATTCAACGAAAATTAAACAAAAGTTTAAGTAAAAATTTTGTCCAAAACTAAGAGCCAAAACTTCAATGAGAATCAATAGGGGAAGGCTGTGGACGCCAGCCCCTTTTTCTGCTGTTCAATAAGTTGTTTGTTTTACTTATTGCAAAGAAAAGAGCAACAAAAAATGCACTAAACATTTACATAAATCTAAACAAAACATCACCCACAAACATTTCTCCAAAACATTTCTATAAAAATCTCAAAACAAACAAAACTTTCACAAACATTTCCTAAAAAACCACGAAATAAACAAAACATCCGAAATATTCTCCCAAAACATTTTTCCAAAACATTTCTCCAAAACATTTCTACCAAAACAAACAAAACATCATCCACAACATTCTCCAAAACATTTCTATAAAAAATCTCAAAACATACAACAAAACACAAAAACATCCACAAACATTTCCTAAAAAATCACGAACATTTTCTCACAACATTTTTCAAAACATTTCCTCTGAAATAAACAAAACAACAAAACATCCACAAACATTTTCCCAAACATTTCATTTAATCGTTGAATAAATGAAAAATACAACAAAACATCAAAATTTATTACCCAAGGAATTAATTTTCGAATTAATCCGTTTCATTCCCTTCAATTTAAAATGGGGCAATACCTTAATATCCAAATTTTTTAATTTTTTAATAATTAAATTTCAACGAAAATGGAGAATTTATATAAATAAGGTAGATTTTGAGTGTGTAAATGTGAATTTTTTTGAAAAATATTTTAACCAAAAATTAATTAAAAAATAGTGTTTTTAGTTGCGTACTTCTGTTGCTCAAGAGATAAAAGAAATGGTTGTTAATCTTAAAGAAATTGAAGACCCGGGTTCTCGTGTTGGTGTTAATGAAGTTGATAGTCTCAACAATCAGCTTGGCTGTTAGATTTTTTTATTTTCTGGTTTTTCATCAAAAACTGATTTTTAATCATTTTTTAGTGTTGTTCGGGTTACTTAAAGGAATCGTAAAACACATTCCTTCATATAGTGATGCAGTTAAGGTTAATTATAAAATGTCAAATCAAAAAAATAATAATAAAATGATTTAAGAAGATTATTTATTCGAAAACTTGGTCTGTTGGTGAAAAGTATAAGGATTTGGACAAAGACAACTTTGACACCAAACAAGAGATTATTGTCCAAGTGTTGGAGTTTATCAAAGATAAAGTTGTTGGGAATTTGGGTAGAGGGGAATTGTGTGCGTTATATGGTTATATAGACTGTTAGTTTAAAAAATAAAATTGAACAATCCAAGTATTTATTTTTAAACAAGGCTTATTCCAAGGCGTCTCTGAGATTCTTCTGTACTACAACCGAAAGTGTGCGCAAGGAATGTAATTGAGTGTTTTTATGAGGAAAACAACCTTTTTTAATAACTCTTTGTATTAAAAACAAACAAACAAAACATCTGTTTTTAAAACAACAATTAAAAACAAACAAAAACATTCCATTTTTCCGGAAACATTTAAGATCATTCTCAAACTTTCCGGAAAACTCTATTTTATTTATCATTGTTTTTATTTCTAAAACATTCTTTCCGGAAAACACATTAAATAAACTTAAACACCTATGTCTTTCCGGAAAACATTTAATTCTCATCCGAACAATGTTTATTCCTTAGAAAAAACAAAAATAGGTTTTCCCGGAAACAAACATGCTGAGAAAAACAAATAAATTAAAACAAAACATGTTTGCTTGTTTTTCCCAAAACATTTAAAATTGTTTTGAACTAAAATTTTACAAAAACATTGTGTTTTCCTATTTATCAATGTTTTTATTTCTAAAAACATTCTTTCCGGAAAACATATTAAATAGACTTAAACACCTTTTTTCCGGAAAACATTTAATTCTATCCGAACAATGTTTATTCCTTAAAAAAACAAAAATAGGGAAAACACAAAATAATTAATTCATAAATGTATTTTTATTGTTTTTACTCTGTTTTATTCATCATCTTCAGAATCCAACGGTTTTAACATTTCCAATTTTGCCTGAGCTTCAATAAATTCCAAATCTAATCCCAAAATGTTTGATTTTTCCAGAGACTTGACAGAATTTTTAAATTCTTTATTTAAATTTAAAATTAATTCTTCATCAACTGATTGAATCCAAAGACATAAATCGTCAATAAAAAGTTGATTTAATAAATATCGAAATTCACCACCACTTTTATTAAAAATACGCCTGCATGTTAAAAGAACATGTAAAATAGATGAACGGCCTGAAAAAAAAATTAAAAAAACATTATAAAATAAAATTAAAATGTTTGGGAAACAAAGTTTGTTGTAATAAAAACACAAGTTCATTTGTATTTTTCCATAAACATTTAGAATGTTTTGAAAATTAAAAACATTAAGAATTGTTTGAGAAACAATTTACAAGGAACAAAACTTGCAAAAACACATGTTTTCCGTCAAACAAACATGTTAAGAAAAAAATACAAATAAATTCAAACAAAACATGCTTATTTGTATTTTCCCAAAACATTTAAGGATAGTTAAGAACTTAAATTTCCCAGAAACAAATGTATTTTCCGGAAAAACACATGTTTTCCGGAAGAAAGGTGTTTAAGTCGATTTAAAATGTTTTCCGGAAAGAATGTTTTTAGAAATTAAAACAATGATAAATAAAATAGAGTTTTCCGGAAAGTTTTAGAACGATCTTAAATGTTTTCCGGAAAATAGAGATGTTTAGTTAATATGTTTTCCGGAAAGAATTAAATAAAGTAAAGTTTTCCGGAAGATTAAGAACGATCTTAAATGTTTTCCGGAAAAACGGGATGTTTTTGTTTGTTTTTAATACAAATATGTTTTTAAAAATGTTTTGTTTGTTTGATCAAGTTATAATCAATTTAACTCATTAGGGAAATGGTTTTCTTTGTAATAAAATTTGAATATGCATACACTATGTTTTTTAAAGTCTTTTCTCTCACAAAAATATAAATAACACATGGGTTTAAAGTTCAAAAGAGCAAAAAGGTCGGAAAAAATTAGTATATAATGAAAGGAAATTGCATTCTTTCATTCATTCTCTCTTCTAACCAAAATTTATTTAAAAAATTAAGTATCTCCTCTATTTTATGTAAACAATTTTGACTTGTTTTATTTAAATTAGAGATGTTTCTAATGTTTTGTTCGATATTTTAAAAATGTTTTTTGTTTCTATAAACATTTCTTATCCTAAAATTCCTTAGTTAATGATTTTTCTTTGGTCATTTCTCATCAATTATTTTTTTAAATCTAAAAATTATCAAAAAATATATTCTAATAGCCCTATTTCTCTTATAATCCCTCTGTTCTTTCATATTTTTGTTAAACCTCCATTATGTTTTTTACCCTAATTTATCAATGAAAATTTTTTTTAATCAATTTATCTTCATACAGACGTTTTTATAAGTATTTTTCGAATTTATTCAATCTTTATTGACCTATTATGGACCTTCAAACGGTATGTTTAAAAAATAAAATCTCCAGCTAAAAATATAGCCTGATTTGTTTGCGTATGGGAATATTTTTGATGTTTGGAATGTTTTGATTATATGTTTATGTGAATGTTTGTGGACATGTTTTGTTTGTTTTCAGAGAAAATGTTTTGGAAAAATGTTTTGGGAAAACATTTCGGATGTTTTGATTAATGTTTATGTGAATGTTTGTGGACATGTTTTTTTTATTTTTGTTTTGGTAGGAATGTTTTGGGAAAATGTTTGGATGATGTTTTGTTTTCAGAGGAAATGTTTTGGGAAAACATTTCGGATGTTTTGTTTATTTCGTAGTTTTTTTAGGAAATGTTTGTGGATGTTTTGTGTTTTGTTTGTTTTGATGATTTTTATATAGATGTTTTGGAGAAATGTTTGTGGGTGATGTTTTGTTTAGATTTATGTAAATGTTTTGTGTATTTTTTGTTGCTCTTTTCTTTGCAATAAGTAAAACAACTTATTGAACAGCAAGAAAAGGTGGCTGGCGTCCTTGTACGCACACATCTCCTTCCCTCGTTTAGTTGCTTATGTTTAACCCTGTCTCTGGACAAATTTTTAACTGAAACTTTTGTTTAATTTTCGTTGAATAAATGAAAAATGAAACAAAAAATGTCCAAAATTTACCCAAAGAATTAATTTTCGAATTAATCCGTTTCATTCCCTTTAATTCAAAATGGGATAATACCCTAATATCCAAATTTTTTAATTTTTTAATTATCAAATTTCAACGAAAATGGAGAATTTATATAAATAAGGTATATGATTTTGAGAGTGTGTAAATGTGGATTTTTTGAAAAATATTTTTTAACCAAAAATTAATAGAAAAAAATGTTTTTTAGCTGCGTACTTCGGTTGCTCAAGAATTTAATGGGATGATTGTTAATCTTAAAGAAATTGAAGACCCGGGTTCTCGTGTTGGTGTTAATGAGGTTGATAATCTCAACGGCCAACTTGGCTGTTAGTTTTTTTTTTAAATTTTTTGATTTTAAATAAAAAATCATGTATTTTTTTAGTGGTTTTCGGTCAACTTAACATAATCGAGAAACTCATTCCTTCTCATAGTGCTGCAATTAAGGTTAATTATAAAATGTCAATTCAAAAATAATAATAAAATGATTTAAGTCTTTTATCGATTTGAAAACTTGGTCTGCTGGAGGGACGCATGTGGGCGACTTTGATACGAAGCAGAAGAAGGTTATCGAGGTGTTGGAGTTTATCAAGAATAAAGTTGTTGGGAATTTGGGTGTGGGGGAATTGAATGCGTTAAATGGTTATATAATCTGTTAGTTAAAAAATAAGATTTAAAAATCCCCAAGTATTTATTTTTAGGCTTAGCTCAAGGCGTCTTTGAGATTCTTGAGTACTACAACCGAAAGTGTGCGCAAGATTGATGAGGTTTTTATGAGGAAAACAAGCTTTTTATTGGTTGATGAGAGGAGTGGTGGTTTCTTTTTTCGTATTTGAATTGACTCTTCGTAATATACACCTTCTCAAGTCTATATTCCTTTAAAAATTTTTTGTTAAACTTTCCAAGGCTCTAATTGAGAGCTGGATTCTATATTTGTATTTTGTAAATTCGCTTTATTTGGCGTTTTGTATTTTTTCCACTTTGACATTAAATCCTCAAAAATTTTTCATTTTGTCTTTTTCGATTTACTAATTTCAAAAAACAAACCCCTAAATTTCCATACCTAAAAATTACTTTCCTTAACTCAATCAAAAGGTGGGCCCGGAAAAATCGATTTTTCCGGTCACTACTAAAAATCCTATAAAAACACACCCTTTGAATATATACAAAATCTGCTAAAAATAAAGTGAGATTTCTTTCATAATGTTTGGTAGCCTTTCTTTCTAAGCTTCTTGTAAATCTAAATATTGCCAAAAAAAAAGGCGAAAACCAATTTACTTTTACTCGCCTTATCAAATCTTCCCTATCCTATTCGGTGAGACGCGTGCTGCAAACCCTCGTATTTGTCGCGGGGTTTGCGGCGCGTGTACTTGGTAACATAAACCTCTACCCTTTTTTGGCATTTATTTCGATTTGGCAAGACATGCGGAAACACTCTTCTCAGTTGTTTTTTAAAGCTTGTTGGCGTTATTTTGGTCGATAAATATTTCAAAAAACTGATTTTTAATGGCGATTTTGTTTTCAACTTTAAAATTATTTTTTCTCTTTCTTATCATTTTTAACGTTTATAGGTCTACAAATTTAATTTATTAGCTTAAAAACAAAAGAAAAGTCAAAAGAAAAATGGCTCGTCGTGGAAATAACATGGTTTCTTTTTTAGACAATTTACCTTAAAATTCCCCCTCGTTTTCTAGTTACCAAACGCCCATTACCACAAACATTGGCAACGTCGAATCAAAACTTGGTTTAATCAACCGGCAAGAAAGCAACGTCGTCGTTTGGCAAGAATTGCAAAAGCTGCCCGTGTTGCTCCTCGCCCAGTTGGGGGTCTTCTTCGTCCAATCGTTCATTGCCCAACTATTCGTTATAATAGCAAGCTTCGATTGGGACGTGGATTTACTTTGGAGGAATTGAAGGCTGCTGGGTTTAGTAAATATGAGGCAAAGTCTTTGGGAATTGCTGTTGATTATAGACGTACAAATCGTTCTGTCGAGTCTATCGAGGTTTTTTTTGTTTTTATAAGGGTCATGAGTTTGTCATGGGTATACTTACTGGTATTTTGATGCCCTCATTCCGGCTTGCTGGCTTGGGCTGGAAGCTGTGATATCGGAAATTAACCTTGTTTTTTAAATAAGGATCATGAGTTTAACATGGGTGCCCTTGTATTTTGATGCTTTATACATTTTAGCTTCCCGGCTTGGGATGGATGCCGTGATTTCTAAAATTGACTTAAATTGACCTCGTCATACTCTTAGGTGACGTGTCATGTATAAATCTGTAGTCAAGAATCTGAAGTGTTTCTGAATGCTAGAACGGCCTCAGATCTCTTAACAAAGTTTTTATATGGCACGTCAACTTTGAGATATGATGAGAGGTAAGATTAGGTCTTTGTCCACACTAGAATTGGCGAATCCGGTTAGTTGGGGTTTGCCTCAGATCCGCCAACCCTTTCCATGTTATAGAATTCTCATGGTTTTTGAACCCTGTGTCTTACAAATTAATTTTTATTTTTTTCAGAGAAACGCCAAGCGTTTGAAAGAATATCGTTCTCGTTTGATTATCTTCCCGAAGAAGTTGAGCAATCCAGAGAAGGGAGATAGCAGTGTATATATTTTTTGAATTTTTGTGGGGTCCGAGCGTGAATCTAATAAACGTGGATTTAAAGGGAATAGAGTTTTCGAGTTTTCTGGGAAATGAATTATCTAATTTTTAAATTAGTTTTGTTAGAGACTGGATATTGGGCGGCTTAAATGTCCTTGGAATTCTACATTTGAGCCACCACAGTCGAAAATTAACGGATCACCAACAATCCTACCTTAGAGTTTCCTGGGAAATTAGAAGTCATCTAAAGCTGTTCTTTGATTCCTTTTTCCAGTCCCATAAGCACACAATGGCATCTTCTACTAGGATCTAAGTTTTCAACATTTTTCAGCCTGAAGAACTCAAAATGGCAAGCCAAGTTACTGGAAAAGTTGTTATGCCACATAAAGAACAGAAGCGTCGTTTGAAAGCACAGCCAATAACTGAAGAAATGAAAAACTTCAAAGTTTATTGCCATTTGCGTCGTGTACGTGCTGATGCTCGAATGAAGGGAAAGCGTGACAAGAAGGCAAAAGAAGCTGCCGATGAAGGACTTGGAAAGGGTGGACGTTAATCAAGTTGTTTTGAGGTTTTTGAGAGGTTTTTGAGGAGATTTATAGTTTGTGGGTGATCAGGAAAGAAGAGGGGGAAGGGTGGATGTAAAGGGAGGAGGGAAGAAATGTTATTTTTTTGAGGTCCTGATACGAGTTGATATACATTTCAGTTTGTCCGCAAGTTTTGTCCGCAAATATTCTTTTCTGAAAATCTTCCCCCTCCTTCCTCTTTTAGCCTCACCTTCCTTCTCTTTTATTGACTTTTATATGTTGCTGTTTTGAGGAGTGGCTATTCTATTCTAAAATATGTTATAATTGTTAAACCATTCTTCGTGTTTTGTTGCGTTGATAAAATTTGAAAAAAATTAAAATTTTTTTATTTTGTTAATTGTTTATAGAATAATTTAATATTTTTAAATTTTTTTAACAAAAATTTCTGTTCATTAAAGTTTTAAAAAAGCAAAAAAACAATCAAGAATGCCGTTAGCTGTTGATCTTCTCCATCCTGACCCAGTGAAGGAACAGCAAAAACACAAACTTAAACGTCTTGTTCAACATCCAAATTCTTTTGTAAGAAAGAGAAGTTTTTTTTTTAATTTTATTTAATATGCGGGAGATAAGGTCTTTAAGACTGGGGGGTTTGGATCCATAACGTTTAATTTTTTTTGAAAATGGCTAACCTTAAGTTTGAAGACATGTGTTTTTGATACTCGTTTATCTTTTTGTTTTTTTTTTCAACGACTTTTGGGGCTTTTTAGTATTTTAGCGTTTATACGCATTAATTAGCGTCTTCCCTTCCTCTATTTTTGTTTTTGTTAAATAATTTTGTTTTTTTTTAATAAAGTTTATGGATGTTAAGTGTCCTGGATGTTATAAAATTACGACCGTTTTTTCGCATGCCCAATCTGTTGTGGTAAATTTTTGAAATTCTTTAGATTTAAATTTTTTATTTTTTTCTAGGTCTGTGTTGGTTGTAGTACAGTGCTTTGCCAGCCTACAGGTTTCCTAAAATTAAAAAAAATTATTTTTAATTTAAAAAAGGTGGAAAGGCCCGTTTAGTTGAAGGATGCTCTTTCCGCAAAAAGGGACACTAAATGATTTGAAAGAAGGGAGGATATGAAAGGTTTTTTTAAATGAAAGAAAAATGTGTCGAAATTTTTGTTAAGTTTATTTTTTGGATATGTTGATTTTTAAATTGTTGAGATAAAAAAAAATAAAAAATTTTTTGAGTTTTTTGAAATTTCGTAAATTTTCGAATTTATATTTTGTTAAATTTTAAGTCCCTTATTGATGCTTTTAATGCAGTCAAGCTTCGCTTATATAAATACGCCAAACCTTATGTCGACCGTTAAAGCTTTAAAATGAGTGTGGGTCTTATTTAGTGAAGGGCGGTGTTGTTGAGCGGTTAGGCTTGCATACAGGCAAAAACAAAATAAGTTGTCCGCAATTTTTGTCCGCAATTTTTGTCTGCAAACCGGTATGATCTTGTAATACCTAAAAGCTTGAAATACCTAAGCCCCAAAAATTTTTGAAATACCTAATTGTGGAAAAAGTCATTGGAACGTCAACCATTCCCGTTCAGGGACAACATCCCCCGTTCACGGGACAACTTCCCCCATCACTGAGTCAACATCCCCCATTGTTGGGTCAACAGTTTGGTATTTCAAGTTCTTACGGGTGTTTGGTATTTCAAGCGTTTTAGGGGTTTAGGTATTTCAAGCTTTATGTATTATAAGACGTTCCGCAGCAAACCGCCCTTTATTAAAGCTTAGAAAAAATTATTTTTATTTTTAGGATTTTCTAAAAATTAATTACTTTACTGGTATTTTTTCATCTAATTTTCTTTTATTATTAAAAAATGATTAGCAGATCTCAATTAATTTTATTCAAAAATTTATTTAAACAAAAACAACAACTTCAACGTCAATTTTCAAGTCAATTAAAATTTAATAGAGATGTTTTAAACAAAAGAGGAATAAATTCAACAAATAATTCAAAAATTAATTTTGATGATGCTAAATTAATATTTACAAAAGATTCAAAATTTGCTTCTATTGAATTATTTCAAAAAGGTTTTTTTTTTATTTTTGCTTTTTAATTTGTGGGATTTGGGAGGGGACGGGTTATCTGTTACCCTAAGGATAGGAGCAAGAACTTTGGCCTTTAGACACGAACTGAAAATCTGAAAAAAATTTTGAAAACCCTTTCCGAAATACGATCCCACTTTTCTTAACTCGTTCCTTATTGGAGATTGACTTGCTTTTCAGGGTGGGTATTCTTTCCCACTTCTTCCATTAATTACCTTGCTTTTTGTACTTTGCAAGGTTTAGTCGAATTTTTCTTAAAATTTCGTCTAAAGTTCTTCAGAGGGTTGTTGGTGAATTAATTTTCGCATGACGGCTCAAATGTCTTTAAATTTCCTCATTACAACTGCCACAGGCGAAACTTAACCGGTCGCCAGCAACGCTATTTTATAGAGATTTTTTTCAATTTTCCTTTTGGGTTCACTCCCCCTTTCCACCCTAAAAATTTTTTTTTCTTTCCATTTTCAGGCTCAACTAATTCAAAAAATGAGAAAAATACTTTTCGAATACCTTTGGTTTGGTTACGCGATCATTGCCGTAATTCAAATTCTTATAATTGGGATACAAATCAACGAAAGGCTAATTGTACAGATTTGTTTGGGAAAGCTGTTTTGGCTGAAGATTGGTTTTTTTCTTTTAAAATTAAAAAAATATTTTTCTAAGTTATCCAATACATTTTGATGTTCAAACACAAAAATTAAAAATTAATTGGGCTGATGGAGAAGAAAGTGTTTTTGTTGTTAATGAATTGCTTAAATGGGGATTGTTTTCTGAAAAGGTTTTTTTATTTAATTTTTTTAAATAGTGATGGGTAGGTTTGATGGGTATTTTGATGGGTAGGTTTGTGAAAAAAAGTTTTGGTTCATGTTTCGGAAATTTCCTTGTTTTTTCGGGTTAAAAATGACTCGTTTAGCCCGAATACTAGAATTACTACCAAAACTGTGGGAAATGGCTGGAAAGGGAGCATTGTTAGAGGATTTTAAGGGGTTAAGGGCTTTAAAGAACTTTAAGGGCTCTCGCCCATACACAACAACCTCCGACTTTCTATTTATTGTTAGAAGTGATGTTTCGTTTTTATGCAGAATTTACTAAGATTTTTAATTTATTTTTTGCCAGCAATATACACAAGAATGTATTGATGTTGATTTAGATGATGATGATGGAGTGGGTAAAAGTTCATGTCCTTCGAGAACTTTGTGGAGAGGAGAAAGTTTAAAGGAAGTTCCTTCGCTTTCCAGGTTTTTATTTTTTAATTTGAAAAATGTGGAAATTCGGGTAATCCTAGTTCTGGACTTTTTTGATTTTTCGGAATCAGTGACTTGTCGGGGTTTTTTGGTAACGGAATCGGTCCTCGGGACTGATAAAGAAATCATAGAAACGGATCTGACCGGACTTCTCTTTTTAAACAATGAATATTTTTAAAATTCATTATATTCGAAGTCAAACTAGAGCTCGGAACTTTTCTGACTGTCGGTTTTGTTGACCACTCTCTCTTGTGTAAAGGACGCAGAAGTAGCGACTAACGAGTCGTTTTCTGAAAAGAGACATATAATACCGACAGAGAGAATTTCCTAGCTCTAGATCAGACGACTAATCCGAAAGGAACGAACCCTTTCTCTTTGCGTTTACTCCAAAAATTTCGAAAATCTTGTAGAAGCCTCTAATATTTTTTTAAATTTCCAATCCTTCCACTCTTAAAATTCTGTTAAAAAATCACCAAATATTTCAATTCCTTTCAGCATAAATTTTGATTTTTCAACCTTTGCTCGTCTTTTTATTCGTTTTGGAGTTGTCTGTGTAACTGGGGTAGAAGCACATGACAGAGGGAAAGCAACACGAAAATTGTGTGAAAAAATAGCCCCAATGCACAATACTTTCTTTGGTGATTTTTGGCATTTTGGAACTGATAATGAACTTGGAATGGCTACTTTTGATGACACAGCATATGGAAGTGAGGAAATTGGACCCCATTCTGATGGAACTTATTTTGATCAACCACCAGGAATACAAGTTTATATTTTATTTTTTAAGGGATTTTTGGGCATAACGCCAAAATTAGGCCTGTAGACAGAAACAATTTCGGGGGAGGGTATGTGAGGAAGATCATTTTCGGCGCTGATCCTCTAAAATTCACTTTTTTCTCTCTCCCAAAATTTTTCCTTTTCCCCATTTCGGGATGGGGGGGGGCATCCCTCCTGGCTATGGGCCTGGCCGAAATACCAAATTTCCAAATTTCGCCGTTTTGGAATTACATTTTTTAAAACTATGCTGGTAAGAAGCCCGCGAAAGAAGATTTTTTATCCGCGAGTTGCGAACTCCGCCTTGTAAGACTGAATTTAGATGAGAAGGTGTTATGAGAAGTTAGACGGTCGTATTGGAGAACTTGGAGAAACTCTAAAATTTCGATCGCCAAAATTTTTTAAGGGATTTTTTGGTAAAAAATTTTTTTAACTTGCGGATAAAAATTTGCGGACTTTGCCGGCAAATTAAAAAAGTATTCTAAATTATTTTTTAAAAATTCTAAAGGTTTTCCACTGTCTAAAACCAGCATTAAAAGGCGGTCAAACAATATTAGTTGATGGATTTTCTGCAGCAGAAATATTAAAATTTGAGAATTTAAATCATTTTCATATTTTGGCCAATTTTGCTTTAGAACATCATTATGTGGATAAAGAGAATTTGCATGCAAGATGTGTTAGAGAGCCTGTAATTAAATTGTTTCCAAGAGTTGAAAAAGTGGTGCAAATTAGATATAAGTTTGTGTTTTTTTGGATTTTTTTAATTTTTCAAAAAATTAATTTGCGGACAAAAACTTGCGGACTTTTCTTTTGCGGACTTTAAATTTTCTTAACTAAAAAATTTTTTTAGTCTTTTCTAATAATATTTAATAATCCTTCAAGATTTTTCATTTTTAGATAAAATAAAAATAATTTCACCCAACGGGGTTCGAACCGTCGACCCCTCTTATGATAAAACTCAACATTTTCCCACTACACCAATGTATTAAAATTTTTTTCTTTAGTCCATATGATCGTGCTCCAATGAAAACCTTGAGAATAAATAAAGAGGAAAAATTGAATGAAGAAATGGAGGAAAATGTTTCAAAATCTTTAGGTTTTCTTTATTTTTAGAGTTTTAAATGGGTTGAATTTTCAGTAAGAGGGGCTGAATTTTTGAAGATGGGCTGAATTTTCAGACTTGAAAAATATTCTGGTCCTTTTTCTAATTAAAAATTTAATAATTCTTCGAGAATTCTCATCCTTAAACGATTTAAAAAATATTTCCCCGAATGGTGTTCGAACCTTCGACCCCCTGTATGTATAATCTAAACATTATCCCACTACACCAAAGTTTACGTAGTCTTAAATTGGATTTCTTGGGTCCTTCCCTTCCTCTAAACATTGTAGACGTCTAAAGAAGGATGTTTAAATTTTTCCTCAATTTTTAGAAGAAACTGTTTTATTTTATGAGGCGTATCAACGCTTTGCTCGAATTTTGAATGAACCTGGGCAACAAGTACAAATTATGTTGAAACCTGGAAATGTTCTTTTTATTGATAATTTTCGAATTCTACATGGGAGAAAGGCTTTTCAGGTTTTTTTTTTTTAATTTTTAATTTTTTGAATTAAAATCTTTTTTACAGGGAGAACGTGCAATGTGTGGTTGTTATTTATCTAGAGATTGTTTTCTTGCAAAAGCTAGGCCTTTACTTTCACCTGAATTCTATCAAAATGTTTAAAAGATTAGTATTTTTATATTTTATTTATTTATACTGAAATTGCTCATTAACAAAATTTTCTAAATAAAATTAACTTAATTGCTATAAATAATGTACAAAAATTTTTAAAAATTTCGGTTCTTTAGAGTCTCGTATTTTTTGGAGCCTCGTATTTTTGGAATATTTCGCCTCAGGGCATTTCCTATTTTACCATTTTGCACATTTTTTTCTCGAGTATATCTACTTAGTTCTTTGCCTTCCTTTAAGTAATCCCCGTCTTCTACTTTCCCTCATTTGTCTATGATGATGTAAAAAAGCGGCTGTAGCTGCAGGTGTTGAAGTATTTAAATTACTGCTGTGCCTCCTTCTATTCCCCCACCATTTACAATTAATTATTCTCATATAAGTCATTCGAAAACGAGCATTACATAAAGCATAACATAGTGGATTGATTGTTGAATTTATGTATGAAAGAACTTGAAAAAAATAAATTTTTATGATTAATATTTGCAAAATTAAAATGATTGCACCCAAGCGGGTTCGAACCCGCAACCCCTCCTAACAAAATCTAAACATTTTTCTACTACACCAAAGTGTCATTTTTTCAGTAGTTTAAGGACAAAAAGGAACTGAAGACAGAACGGTACCTAACAAAATGGTACATGATCATAATGGTACACTGACAAAATGGTGCCTAGACAAAAGGGTACATGCGACAAAATGGTACACTGATAAAACGGCACCTGGACACGTACCGTTATCTAACCCCAATCTATTTGTATTTAATTTAACTAAGTCTTTATAATTTTAAAATTATTTAAATTTAAAATCAACTAACAATAGCTAATAGTAAATAACGAAATAGGCACAGAATTGGGATAAAAAGCTTCCAGACAGACTATAACTAAAATAGAAAAATTATTTTTTTTATCAAAATTGATTTTAAATTTACCATGATAAGGAGTACAGGTAATAATAAAGGCACAAAGGATAGCTTAAATTAAGTAATACAGTATCTACTACAGTATCTAATTTACCGGAAAGTGTTTTGGCTGCCTTACTTTCTTGTTTTCTTTCATTTCGACGACGCTCTTTTTCGCTTTGTCTCATCTTCAAAAAGAAAAATTAGTGGAGAATTTCAAAGAGAAGATCTCACTATAAGATTACACCCTCGGGGCTAAATAGAGGGAGTATCGTTTAGACAGAATAGGTCCCCAAGAGAGATCAGCCAGATTTAAAACAGTCATTTAAAAACAAAAATAAGAGACAAATTGGTACCCAAAAGGGTAACCAATAAAGTGGTACCCGGTCAAAGGGTACACTGACAAAAGGGTACCCGGAAAAAGGGTGCACTGACAAAATGGTACCCGGCCAAAAGGGTACCCGGAAAAAAGGGTGCACTGACAAAAGGGTACCCAGACAAAAGGGTACCCGGAAAAAAGGGTGCACCGACAAAAGGATATTTATGGCTTATCTTATAATGAGGTTTCTACTGTATTAATTTACCTGTTCTTCCCTAATCATTTGTATTTCACTTTTACGCATTAAAACACCATTAGGTTGTTGTTGTTGAGTAAATGATGAAGAAAAATTATTGTTATTATTATTTAAACGAAGAGATCCTCCCCTTCCCCCAGGGGCGCTCTTTACAAGTCTTAGACGACGTTGTTCTTCCAAACTTGGAGATTCCTTCATTTCTTTCAAGTCTTCCTTCTCAACAAATTTGCGTTCTACAGAATTTCGAGTACTTAGGGACTCTACTTCTGCTTGAGATGAGAGACGGACAGAGGGTCGTTGACTTGTTATTACTCCCCCACCCTTATTATTTCCTTCATTTCCTTCTGGATATTCAATTATTACAATGGAATTGTAACTAAAAATAAATAAAAATAATTTTTAAATAATTAAGTCTTCAGAAAAAAAATATTTCATTCAACGGGATTCGAACCATCGACCCCCTCCCTTCCAAAGAATAAAGCCTTCACCACTACACCAAGGTGGACAAACAGCCCTTCCACTAAATAAAGTTGAGGAGACAATTGTCAACTCCGACAATTGAGAACACGACATTAAAAACCCCTCGAGGTAATTTAAAAAACCCCTCACGTATGAACAGAAGATGGACGTGAAGTCCTTTCCAACTCCACTATAGGCATTTTTCCACTTCCAATACTTCTAAAACTTCCAACGGGTATTGTTGAAGAACTTCCTTTAGGGTATTGAAATTGTAAAAGTTGTTGACTTTTCTTTCTTTCCTCTTCAATTAAAGCTTCTCTACGTTCTGCTGCTTTTGCAACAATTATACTTTCCCAATTTTCGTGTTGTCTAAAAATAGGGAGGTTGAATTAGCGGTAAAAGACCGTTCGCCGATTCAGTCTTAAGGCCATTTTTGGGCCATAACTTTTTGGATTCTTAACCGATTTGAATAATTTTTGTATCAATCGAAAGCTCTTAATTTGAGGAATATTTTAGCAAGCAGGAGTGTTTTGATCGGATCATTCTATTAAAAGTTATAGCCGAATAAAGAGCAAAAAACACGATTGCGCACACTTATATGGCCATAACTTTTTGTAGGGTGGTCGGATCAAATCAATCCTGCTTGATAAAATATTCCTCACATTCAGAGCTTTCGATTGGTATAAAAATTATTCAGAAAGATTGAATAGGAAAAAAGTTATGCCACGAAAAAGGTGACTGAATCGACAGCAAAAAATAGTCCGCAAAAATTTTTTTGTCCGCAAAAATTTTTGCGGACAAATTTTTTTTTATTTTACCTAAACTCTCCTCCATCCCCACAAGAATTATTAGCCAATTCAATAGCTGTTTGTTCTGCCATAATAGAATCTAAATTTGAAGTAGTCAATCCACAAGTTTCTTCTTCTTCCCCTCCAATCCCCCCATCATCCCCTCCCAACACGCCAACAGAATCTTCTGTGGATATACATTCAGAAGAGGATTGGGTAGTCACATTACGTCCTGTACAGAATTTTAGAAGGGAGAAGCGTTCTCGTTTTCTGAAAAAAATTAAAAAAAATTTTTTTGAAGACTTTCAAGCGTCCATAGAATTTAAATTTAATAAGGGAAGAGGTCGTCAACGTTGCTTAACTTAACAGATCGGACGGTTACGCCCACTGTAAAGAATTAACCCAAAATGTCAATGGCGATCGTTAAACTACTTATACAAATATAGTCCTTTTTTGCTTATATGTATTTCTCAAGCTAAGCAACATTGAGGGGTCTTAGGTATTTTAAAAATTTTCTAAAAAATTCTTAATAAGTATATCAATTCATTTTTACCATTTCTATATTAAAAACACCCATTTAGATTTTTTTAATTTCAAAAAAAAATTTACAGGGGGAGAGAGAGAGGGAGAGAGAAGGGGGCTTTTCTAGTCAACGACTATGGAAAGGAACGAGAGGCAAAATTTTTTTGAAATTTTTTTCTAAAAATTTCCCTTTACTTTTTAACACAATTTCCATCATTATATAAATTTGCTGATTGTTGTTTATTATTCCCAATTAAAATATCCAAAAAATTAATTTTTGTTGATGTGTGTGATTTTAATGAAGAATTTAAATTGTTGTTGGGAATTAAAGTTGATATTTCTGATAGGGAAGTTGTTGGGGGTGGTTGTAGACCTCGAATCTATTTAAATTTGTTGAATTTATTTTTTAATTTTAATTTAAATTAAATTTTAGATAAAAAATTAAAGGAAAAGAAGCAAATACGGACAACTAGACAGTGAACAAAAATAAAAAAATTTCGAAGAATAAAAACGAAATGAAAAAATTAATAAAGAAAATAAAAAAGTTTAATAAAAAAATTAAAAAAAAATTAAAAAAAACAAAAAAATTTCTGAACTAAGAAACTTTAAAAGCACGCAGGAAGAATAGAAAACAAAAAAATAAAATTTTTAATTTTAATTTAAATACCAATGGAGCTAATGGAAGTAGCAAGGATTGAAGTGCTGGGGTGTTTGCCAATTTGGAAGAGGATGGAAAAAGCTGTGAATATTTCTCTTACTTATTTAATTTTAATTAATTTAAATATTAGGAGAAAATTAATAATTTAAAAAAATATCAGAAAAAATTATTAAGAAATTATCTTTTGAAAAAAAATTTTTTTTTAAATCACGCCGATTAATTGGGCATTTTTTTAATTTTTTAAAGTGCAGAAAAAAAGCACAAAGGGTAAAAATTGCAAGAATCAAAAAAATTGTTAGGAAGAAATATGAGAATATAAAATAATTAATTAATAAAACAAATTTTACTTGTTGTTGTCCAGCCTGTAATTTCCTCAACTCCTTGCGGCGTCTGCGTGTTTCCAAATAAACTGAAAGAGAAAAGTGTGTTTCTCATTGAATTAAACAAATAAAACAAAACTTTCCGGAAAAAACACAAAACATTGTATTTTATTAAATAATTATAAAATTTCCGGAAAGCCTATATTCCGGAATTTATATTTTTAAATATAAGCATGCTTCCGGAAAAAGTATAGTTTCCGGAAAAAGTATATTTTCCGGAAAAAGTATATTTTCCGAAAAAAGTATAGTTTCCGGAAAAAGTATATTTTCCGGAAAAAGTATATTTTCCGGAAAAAGTATATTTTCCGGAAAAAGTATATTTTCCGGAAAAAGTATAGTTTCCGGAAAAAGTATATTTTCCGGAAAAAGTATATTTTCCGGAAAAAGTATATTTTCCGAAAAAAGTATAGTTTCCGGAAAAAGTATATTTTCCGGAAAAAGTATATTTTCCGGAAAAAGTATATTTTCCGGAAAAAGTATAGTTTCCGGAAAAAGTATATTTTCCGGAAAAAGTATATTTTCCGGAAAAAGTATATTTTCCGGAAAAAGTATAGTTTCCGGAAAAAGTATATTTTCCGGAAAAAGTATATTTTCCGGAAAAAGTATATTTTCCGGAAAAAGTATATTTTCCGGAAAAAGTATATTTTTCGGAAAAAGTATAGTTTCCGGAAAAATATACCTAATTAAATACCTTTATAGTAGAGAACAATCATTAGCGTTACTGGAATGTAAAAGGCGGCAGCAGAAGTAAACTAAATTGAATTTTAAATATTTTTAAAAAATTAAAGAAATATTACCAAGGTTGCTAATTGATTTTGCCAAGTTCTAGTATCACCCAATACCAAAAACTAAAAAATAAAAAAAAATTTTTTAATTTTTAATTTAAAAATTACCTGAACAACACATAGAGAACTTTCTTCAACAATAAAACGGCCTTCCATATATGGCCATAAAACTATCCATGGAGGCCATAACAAAAGGGATATTGTATATGTACACGAAATCATAATTAAAGCTTTTCTTGTAGTTCTCCTAAAATATATTTTTTTATTTTTACGTAAAGTTTAGAATAATCTTCGGAAATATTACATACATTTCCGGAAGTTATAATGTTTCCGGAAAGTTATTTAAATAATAAAATGATAGTTATATATTTTCCGGAAAGTTTATTTTTTATATTTTCCGGAAAATTATATCTTCCGGAAAGTTTATTTATTTATATTTTCCGGAAAGTAGTATAATAATATTTTCCGGAAAGTTATATCTTCCGGAAAGTTTATTTATTTATATTTTCCGGAAAGTAGTATAATAATATTTTCCGGAAAGTTATATCTTCCGGAAAGTTTATTTATTTATATTTTCCGGAAAGTAGTATAATAATATTTTCCGGAAAGTTATATCTTCCGGAAAGTTTATTTATTTATATTTTCCGGAAAGTAGTATAATAATATTTTCCGGAAAGTTATATCTTCCGGAAAGTTTATTTATTTATATTTTCCGGAAAGTAGTATAATAATATTTATAGTTTCCGGAAAGAATATACTTTCTATTTTCTATAGTTTCCGGAAGGTTATTTAAATTAATATTTTAGTTTATTCATTTTCCGGAAAGTTTAATTATTAAAAATAGTTATATTTATAGTTTCCGGAAAGGAATAATTTCTATTTTCTAATGTTTCCGGAAAAAGTTTATAATTTACTTTGGTCTGTAAGTAAGAGGTCGAGTAACAGAAAAGTATCTATCAAAGCTAATCAACAACAAATTGAGAGCTGAAGCATTGCACATTAAATAATCTATACAGAGCCAAACTAAAAATTTAAATTTAATTTAAATTAAATTTATTTTCTAAATTTACATTGGCAAAGAGAATATCCAAACGTCCAAGTCTCATTTGCCTTTGAAATTTAAAAATATTTTTAAAAAATTTTTGAGAAATTAAATTACCGTATATAAAGTCATAAGAGGAATAGAAATAAGCTAAAAAAATTTAAAAAATATTTTTCACTTAAAAAAATTTTTTAATCACCCCAATAGTAAGGTCAGCTACAGCTAGCGAAAAAAGAAAATAATTGGAAATTGTTTGTAATTTTTTATCAACACAAATTGAAAGCTGTAAAATTCAATTTTAATTAAAAATTAAAAAAAAATAATTTTTCTACCATTACAAAAGCATTCCCAATCGTTGTAGCTAACGAGAAGAATACCCCAATAATTACAATAAATACAATCCACCCCATTTCCTTCAAACTTTTGGCAATTTTTCTTTCATTTTTTGATGTTTCTTTTAAATTTTTGGTTGAAGATGAGGGTAATATTGTTGTTGTTGTTTTTGTTGAGGTTGTTGGAGGGGTATTTGTTATTGAAATTTTTGTGTTAGGCAGGGAAGTGGAAGCACTCCCGTGAAGGACAGCGTTTACAAGAGGGCGAACTTTAAATTTTTTAATTAAAAAAAATTTATTTTTTTACCAATAATTTTTCTTCTTTTGGAAGATTTCCCTTCTTCACTTCTTTCAATGTTTCGTTGTCCGTAACGAAAGTTTCTGGTGGTTGTTCCAACATGCCCTGACTGTTTATAAAAATAAATTGGTTTTCCGGAAAGAAATAATATTAAGTCTATAATAATAAACAGAAGTTCTAAAATAAATTCCGGATAGAAAATAAATTCCGGAAGGCTTAGAATAGAATACAAAATTAATTCCGGAAAGAGTATAACTATAGCAATATTCGCATATATTTCCGGAATTAAAAAATAATTTCCGGAAAGTTTGGAATAATTAATTCCGGATAAAAATAAAATCCGGAAAAAGTTGAAATAATTTCCGGAAGGCTTAGATTAAAATCCAGAATTGATTCCGGATAGAATATAACTATAATAATATTCGCATATATTCCGGAAAGTTTAAAATAGATTCCGGATATAAACTGGAAGGGTTAAAAAAGTTTAGAATAATTTCCGGAAAATTTCCGGATAGTATATAATTTCCGGAATTTAAAAATAATTTCCGGAAAGTTTGGAATAATTAATTCCGGATAAAATATAACTATGGTAATATTCCGGATAAAAATAAAATCCGGAAAAAGTTTAAAATAAATTCCAGAAAAAATTTAAACTATTCCGGAAAGAAAATAATTTCCGGAAAATACATTCAAATTTACCGCTAGTCGTTGAAAGAACAATGTAATGTCTTCTCTAGGCATTTCAGCAACTGAAGCAATACTTTTACTACTACTTTCTTCTGGCCATTCAGAAAAATGTTGTTCTTTAGGAATAACTGAAGCATAAAATGAGCAAAAAATAAATAAAGTGAAGAAAATTTTAAAAGGAAGGCTTTTTGACATTTTTGGATTTTTTAAAGGCAGAAAATTAATTTTTTTGGAAATATTTTAAAAATTTTCCTAAATTTACATTCTAAAAATAAAATTTTAAATTAATTAACAAGTAGAATTCTTTAAAAATTATTTTTTTATTTTTTTTAGATTTGCGTGCTAAAAAGCACTGAAAATTATTTTTTGAAGTACACTACTACTTAATATACACTATATAATTTTGTGACCAAAAAAATGAAAAAAAAAGTATAAAAATTATTATGTAGTTGAGAGAAGCGTCACCAACCACATTTTCTGTCTATTTTTGTTTTTAAGAAAAATTTTTTTTTTAATTTTTTTATTTAAAATATAGGGTGACACAAAAATAACCGGACACCTTATTTAAGCCATAACTTTATTTAAACTGAAGATAATGGGATCAAATAAAATTTAAGTGATAGGGAATTAAATAAGGATTTAGAAATATATAAGCAAGAATTTAGAAAATAATTTTGGAAGTGCCCATATTTGCTTGGATACAAAGATATAAGAAATATTTTTGGTTGAAACTAAATCTATTTTTCAATTAAAAATTGATAAAAAAAATTATTTTTCTTTTTTTTACTTCTTTTAAAATCGAAAAAAAATTTTTTCTTGAAGGATTTAAAAAATATTTTTTTTCTAAAATATTTTTTTTGTTTATTTTAAGGGCCAAATGGAGTGGAAGAGACTTTTCTTCTACTAATGAAAATTAGGAAAAAAAAGAAAATTTAAAAACGTAATTATTAAAAATAAAAATATATATTTAAATATACTTTTTGTATTTGTGTGGGCGAAAAGAAGAAAAAAAACTTTTTTAAATGGCGTGTTGGTAAAGCTAAATTAGAACACGGGTAAATGAACTTGTAAAGACGTTAAAACCTGAATAAGTTTAAAAAAAAGAAATTTTAGTAAAGAAAATTAAGGTTTCCGGTTGTTCTGATTTTTCAAGCTTATTGTCAGAAGTTGTAAAAACCAGAATTCTGATAATTAAAAATAACGAGAAAAATATAACCGGAAATATAACCGGAAATACAACCGGAAATTAGAAGAAGAAAATAATTTTTACAATTGTAATTTGAATTTGTAAAATTAATAACCGGAAGAAAACGGGAAAACAATAAATAAATATATAAAATAACCGGAATAACTATAATAATATAACCGGAAAAGGATATAAACGGAAAAGAATATAACCGGAATAGAATATAACCGGAATAGAAAATAACCGGAATAGAAAATAACCGGAAAAAAAATAACCGGAAAAGAATATAACCGGAAAACAAGTTTTACAATTGTAATTTGAATTTGTAAAATTAATAACCGGAAGATAACCGGAAAATATATAAAATAACCGGAATAACTATAATAATATAACCGGAAAATAACCGGAAGAGAATATACCCGGAAAAGAATATAACCGGAGAAGAATATAACCGGAATATAACCGGAAAAAAATATAACTGGAATAGAATATAACCGGAAAAGGATATAACCGGAGAAGAATATAACCGGAAAGGAATAAAACCGGAATAGAATATAACCGGAAGCAATAATATATAAAATAACCGGAATGACTAATAATATAACCGGAAGAGAATATAACCGGAAATAAGTTTTACAATTGTAATTTTTTTAAAAATAAACTTTTTTGAATTTGTAAAAACATTTCAAATTTATTTAAAGTTTATTTTTAATAATTACAATTGTAAAATTTATCAACAACCTGAAAGAATAAAAAAGGGTTGTTTAAGAGCTTAATAAAAATATAATTGTCAACTGCTTATAATAATTTAGGTGATGACAAGTACTTCTAACCCTAAACAAACTCTTCTTCCCCTCAATCATTTTCTTTTAATTTTTTCTTTAAAAATTTCTTTTTCAATCGAATTTCTTTTTTTAAGCGAAGATAAGAGATGGGGGGGATATGTAAAAAAGAGGTGGGGGTTAGGAGGAAGAGGGGGGTTAACGCCAAATGTCAAAAGAATTAGTGCCCGCCGGCGGGAATTGGCAAAATATAGAGGAAAATAAAAAAGAAAGCTTAAGTAGAAAGACCACAAAACTAAAAGAAGCAACTGTCGCCTTAAATAAAAACACACAAAAATGAATTTTCCTGAAAGTTGTGTGCAGAAAAAAACATTAACGAGTTAATAATGTATGTATGTAAAAACAGTAAAAAATAAATTGTAAACTATTTTTGTATAAAAATTTTAGGAGGATAATGGGTATAGGGGAAATTTAGGTTATAGGAGAACTATAGGGGAGGAATAAAAAGATTGCTAACATAAACTTGGGGAATATCAGAATTTGTAAAAATATTAGTGATACAATTGTAATTATTTTACGGTTTGACGGGACCTTTGTCCCTAACAAATTAAAAAATAAGTAAAAGTATGTTTTATACATACTCTTCATAAAATTTTATTTTTTTTCCAAAATTTCCAAAAATATTTAAATAAAATATTAAATAAAATTAAATAAAAATGGAAAGTGCAAAGTAATAAATTTTAAAGGAAAATAAAATAAAAAGAAAAACTTTGAACCTTATTATCATAAGGTTCAAATTAAACAATAACAAGGCAATTAAGCCATGCATGTATAAGTTTAATCGTTTATCGAGAGATCGTGAACGGCTCATTATAATGGCCAAATTTTTGGCTAAATTTTTGAGAAGAACAGATGTTCTTCTTGCCAGTTTTATCTGGCTTATTTTTGGTTGAACTTTTTATAAAAAGTTAATATTAAAAGAAAATAATTGTACTATTGTTTTCGATTAGAAAACAATAGGAAAAAAGAGAAATAAATATTTTTGCCAGTCAATAACAATCTGGCTGATTGTTTTTGATTAAAAAATAAAAATAGAAGAGAATAGAAAAAATAATTGAAAAAAGCAGAGAAAATAAAATCGCCCACGTTTCTGGAAAAGCTAGAGATAATACATGCACTAAAGCTTTGTCCTCAAAGAGAGAATTTGTGAGCCGTTCAATTTTGGCTTTTCTTTTTAAAACCCCGCCTCCCCCCTTTTTAAGTTTTTTGCTGTCCCTTATTTTTTGTCAGTTTCGAATTTTTAAAAAGAGAAAAAATTAAAATAAAAATAAAAATTTAAAAATATTTGGTTCTTTATTAATTAGGGAAATTTTTAAAAGAAGTTTTTAATTTGGGAAAAATATTTAAAGAAGAAAAAGTTTATTGAAGAATTGGAATTCTTCAGATTTGGTGCTCCCAGGCGGCAACAAAATTTATAATTTAAAAATTTTTAAATTTCTTCAAAATTTTTAAATTTCTTCAATTTATTCAAAATTTTTAAATTTCTTCAATACTACTACCTTCTTCTATTCTGAGTGAAATACCACTTCTTTCATCGATTCTCCTTTAATTTTGCCTTGGCAAAAAATAGTAAATTTTTATTAATTTTTAAAATTAATTTGATAATATTCACACTGAATCCATTGTAAATTCAGTAGTGTTTATATATCAAATTATAGGGGAAAAAATATTAAAAAATAAAATAATTAAATAAAATAATTTCAAATCGAGCCCTTGTACTCGATTTGAAAAGGGTGGTAAATAAAAGAAAAAATATAAGAGAAAATAAATAAAAATTACAAAACGAGCCCTTGTCACTCGTTTTGTAGAAAATCAAATTTAAAAATCAAAATTGTTATTTTTGTGGTTTCTTGCCAGTCTATCTCTACCTTTCTCTCTCTCATTTCCTCACATTTTCATCACACAGTCCCTTGTCAAACTGTGTTGATTAAAAAAGAATTTTGAAGATAATTGGTTGATATTTGCGTGCTTTAGAGTCAAAATTTGTCAGATTTGTGAAGAGTTGGAAAATTTGGATATTTTTGTGGAAAGTATTTTGAAGAAAAATTTTGTAAAATAATAGATAAAAAGAAGAAATTATGTCCGCTCCGCTCAAAACTGCAATTGTATCTGCCTTTAAGGCTTGGATGGAGTTCAAGGATGTGGATTTTGAGGCCGGAATTGAAGCCGGCGACTCCGCGCAGTTGCGAAAAATTAAATATGAAGGAATATATGAAGAATTAAGGAATGAAGTTCAAGCCCAGGAGGCTATTATCACTGACGTAAAGAATGTTTTGACTGCGTGGGGGGACCTTTTGAGGAAAATGAATGGGGAAGAAAGGCGTGCTGGAAATGAAGATTATATTGAATTTAATGAAGTGCATCACGTCGAAAATACTCTTCAGAAGTTCGAGCAGAATGCTAGGTCGCTGAGAGAATATGCTCAGAAGATTTTGACCCAATTGAAAATTGCAAAGCACGACGCCGAAAAGGAGCGCCAGCAGGAGGAGTTGAGATTCCACACGGCAGCAGCAGCCGCGGGGAATCGACTCGAAACTCAGGCGGCTCCGGCGGGACCTGGAAGTTCCCGTTCCCTACATTCTTTGTACCAACTCCCAACTCTACAAATAAGGAAGTTTGGTGGAAATCGACGAGAATGGCTGGATTTTTATGAAAGTTTTAAATGTGCCGTCGACAATTCTGTCGCGTCTGAAATTGAGAAACTGACCCTGCTTCGTTCCTTACTTGAAGGAGAAGCACGAGACCTTATCTCGGGATTTCGACTCGAGACCCGAAGTTTTGAGGAGGCCATAAAATTATTAAAAGATTATTATGGCAATACTGAGGCTCATGTGCGCGACTTGCACATTAAATTGGCCAATCTTAAGCCGTGTCAAAATTTGAAAGACACGAAAAATTTTGCGTTCGAATTAGAACGCTTATCTCGAGAATTAAAAAATGCTCGAGAAGACATAGAAGGCCCGGCAATTTATTTGGCATTGGAGAAAAAATTAAATAAAAATTTTTTGAGAGAAATATTAGTGAAGAAAAATGAGGAAGGTTCAAGATGGAACACTTCCAAATTTCGAGAGGCTTTACATAATGCCTTACAAAGAGAATTGGCCATCCAAGAAGTGCTTTTGGAGCATGATCAGGATAAATCGCATGTTCCAAAAATTCAGAAGCCC